TATTTGTGACTCTCTGTGAGCCACAGCTGAAGAGGCACATGAGCAACTTTGATGCAAATTCATGTAAACCCATCCCATGCTTCGTCATCACGTGCCGCCTGAAACACTTCAGTGTGCGCTGTATTTGCATGCGATTGCAAAGTTTGATGTGTTGGTGGTCATCACACTAACATGAACATACACCAACTCTCTACTGGAACTAGAGATGCAACCATGAGACGGGAAATTGATTGGTAATACGACAATTTGTCCTCCTAAATATAGATGTTTTTTGCTTTTCTCTTTTTAATATCATATTAGAGTGAATGGGTTTTAGGGTATTATAATAATAATAATAATAAATTTAATTTTTATATCGCTTTTCTCTGACTCAAAGACGCTTTACAGTGTGAGGGAGGGTAGACAAACAAGGACAGGCAAAAACAAACAAAAACAACAAAACAAAACATTATATAGGCCTAACAATAATGTGTGTTTTGGAGCGCTAGCCAATAGGAGCGCGAGTGTTCCATAGTGATGTCACTGTGTTCCGGAAGAAAGCAAAGATGTCCAATGGAGGCGTTTCAGGCTTTCTACAAAAACGGCAAAAACATCTCTGATAAATCTCCATTATTTACCATATCTGACTCCTGTCAACACTCACCTCCGCACGCACACACACACACACACACACACACACACACACACACACACACACACACACACACACACACACACACACACACACACACACACACACACACACCCATCCCCCCGCCGCCCCTCCGTCCAGCAATTTATCCGGCGAGCCGCTAATCCGCTGGCCCAGATTTGGTCCAAAGTCTGCTCCACATGATGTTGTGTTGCCTTCGTCATCCCAACAACTGCACACACACACACACACACACACACACACACACACACACACACACACCACACACACACACACACACACACACACACACACACACACACACACACACACACACACCCCACCATGTGACATCTCCAGCAGTCATGTGACTTGCTGGTGCACCTGTGACCTACTGTACTGACGTGTAGCAGTGTGGGATGAGAGCTGCTTCCACACCGTGAGTCACTGTGGGTGGGTTCATCATCTTCCTCATCATCATCATCACTCCGGGGGTGGCAGAGCGGCAGGGGGAGGTGTGCTGCATATATTTATATATTTATTCAGATTCGGCCTATTTTTCGCCCGAGTGGGCTCGTGCGATCAGATGTATGACTGTTCACATGTGCCAGGATCTGAGATGACGCCTGGGAGCTCTGTGCATCGCAGCGTCACCATGGCAACAGGTTCTCTCGACGAGGACCACTCCTGACACATCAGTAGTAGCCGATGGGCTGAGATCAAAAAAAAAAAAAATGCAGGACAAGAAACAGGCTAAATATGGAAGCAAATATGAGATTTAAGAAGCGGGTGCAGTGTGGTTTTGGTATACACCATAATGGCAAATCATTCATAATCCATAGTGAAGAGGACAGGCGACAAAGCAGGTTTTAGGTTTCTGTGATAGATTTTGATACTGGATCCACAAAATAAATTCAAAACTAACAGGAAGATAGAACAAAATTGCTAGTAAAGAAGAGATACCCCTTCCTTGTCCTGCCTGAGCTCCACCCCCTGCACACCTGCTACCAATCCCCTCCTCCTCACTTCCTAGCTCAAAGGCCTGGTCACACCAGCATTTGAAAGAGTAAAATATGCAGTTACTATCATGCTACCAACTTTAGCACACTGGCTGAAGGTAGTTCTCCAACTACTCTTTTAGATTTGAACTTTGGCTGCCTGCTGTCAAGCCCTGATTTTGATCATCGTACATGTAAGTCCTCTACCTTGCCTATACCTCATGTCTGAATGGTCACCCTTGATTTCCAAAACTCTTGCCAGACTCGCTGCATGACGACTTATCCTAACCTTAACAATTGGAGGGCAAAGCCTTACCTTAAAGGGACCTTATTCTGCTCATGTTGGTGTTCATATTTGTATGTTGTGCCTAACTTCTCTCCATGTTTTAACGTCCAAAAAGGTATTTTCTCTGACTGCCTGTGCTGCAGCAGGAAAGGGAAGACCACAAAAAGCATAGAGGGCCCTTTTAATCTTGTTAAAATAGTTGCATATTGTCAGACTTGTATGCCAGTGTTGATTTAAATACACAACTATCAGAGTTTGAACACTTTAAGACCGTTTTGAAAAGCTGCCCTGGAGTCATATCAACACTTCTCAACTCCTGATAATCACAACTGAAAATCAACGCTTGTTAATGTTGCATAATGTGCTCTGCAGCTCTGAGCTTGGAGGTTTGGAGGACTGACTGAAGGGAAATATAACAGTTGTTTATGCACGAGTGGAAATGTGGACTTATGGTTTTATTTAGCAATCCCTATTTATTTATATAGCTATAATTAAGACTCAGTTTAACTGTCTGCACACTGCTATAATCAGGTCAGTGGATTGTTCCACTTTCCCCCCAGCTGAGTGATCATTTATTCCTTCAGAATAAAAGCCTTCTTTAAGAAATGTGCAGCCTTTGAAGTGTGTCTGCTTGTCGGCTGTTACATTCGGCATCAATTCTGCAGATCAGCGAAGCAAATACTCCAGAGAGGATGCGAGAGGATATGCACACGTCCACCGAGACGAAGGCTGCAGCGAGCACAAAGAGAGAATTCATGGAGGAGGGGGAGGAAAGAAGAGGAGGAGGAGGGGGAGGAGGAGGAGGAGGGGAAGAATAATGATGGAGTCAATGAGAGGAGCAGATGAAAAACGGGATGCTGACGATGATGAGACTAAAGTAGCAGTTTTGGGGGGAACAGGCAAAAGAAGAGAAGTTTTACGATGGCTTCCTGCAGAGAAATTGCTGCGGTTCCCCTCGTCGCAGTAAATCATGTCACTCCACTACTTCCTGTCTGTTCTCAACTTCTCACCGGCCTGAAGGCGATACACAGGCCTGCTGCTTTATGGGAAACAGATGTTGTAAATGAAAGAGAAATGCTAGGAGAAGTTGTTGGATCGGTGGCCCTCTGAATGCTGTGCTTCAATCCTCAATGTCTGCAAATCACTCAGTAGAAACCAGTAGCCTCTTAAATCTGTTTTCTATCATCTCAAATTCAATATGTGTTTTATTCATTCACCTCCTCCTATGATCAATGACCTCAAATATACACCAAACTACCAAAAGCATTCAAAAATGACTCAAAAACAAAGAAATTTGACAACTAGGAAAACGCAAAAAGATGCAGCATTCATAGAAAGACACACAAAATGGCTAAAAATAGATGCAAAACTACTACAGAGAGCACACGGCCAATAGGAGACACATCATGAAACGTCTATAAATAGATGCAAAATGACTGAAAGTAGATTATTTGACACTTTTTGGTTTTAAGTGTCTTTAGATTGGGTGAGGGGCCCCTTACATGTCTGTGCCCAGGGGCCATTTGTCTTATATCTTTGAATCTTATAGACATGAAGAATATCTGCACTTCCTGTGGCACTTCCACAGCACACAACAGACATTGTTTTCCACCTGGTCCGGCTCTTTAATCCACAGTGAGGGAGCTCTTAATCCAATCAGCATCAAACTCTCACATGAGGAGCTGACGTGCGGAGGATACAGTCACTTTTTATCTTGCAAGAGGAGATGTTTGCACCAGACATTTTAGTTATGTCTTTGAATAAACCTGGGAAATGCATGCAGTATTGGAATATTTTGTATAACTTGTACTATTTTGCCGCTATGTCCTGTGACATGCAACATACTGCACACTTTTGCATGTATTTTCTTCCCCATACATTGCAATAGCTGTATTTATCTGCCGCGTGCACACTTTGAGGAGTGCGCCAAGATGTCCAAAACTAACTTCCTCCAGAGGATAATGTTGCTAAAACTTCCAAAAAGCTGCAAGAACTTAAAAAAGTTGTCTTTGTTTAAGCCTTTTTAAAGTAATTAGCAGACATGCAAATGAGAATCACATAGCTGCTTAATGCGCAACTCACGCGCGCGTCAGCTGACAGCATCAAAACAACAACAAAGCAACAACAAAAACAACCTCAATTATTCTACTGTTGAGACAAAAGCAAATACAAATGTAGAGAATAGTTCACTCGCCCATGTTTCAGCTGGCTCTGACTAGAATAAGTGACAAAAGAGGTTTCCACAGGTTGTTTGGAGAGGGGTGCATACACAAACAACTGGACGTCCTGGTTAGGACTCGGTGGGGGCGGGGGTTAAGGGGGTGGAAACGTGACGTCACTGCATCTAGAAATGGATCAGACTCCTTAAATCTCTCCAAGTGTCCTGATTTGTTCTCCACGCGCTATTAAATACAAAGGGAAGGTACTGTATTATTCAGAGGCGTTATTTACCAAACTGCATACTATTCTAAATTAAATATCTTCCATTTTTGAGTGATATTCTTAGCTAATTATTTGGGGTAAAAATGTGTTTTTTTGCGAAGTGTGCATGCTAGCAATACATTTAATTAATCCCAAAACTTAATTGAAAGTATTATTTTTAAACAGTCAACTATAGAATACATCTAAAATAATGACAGAACACATTCCTTAAATTAAGTTGTGGAAAGTAGTATTGCGGTAGTTGTACTTTACTGGAGTGTTCTGCTACTTTATTCTCAACTATGGTTAAAGATTTAACAACCACAGTAAGCTTCAGTACTTTTACCAAAAATAGATTTTAAATGGAGGACTTATTTTTGAGTATTTTTACAATGTTATGTTGGAGCTTTTACTTAACCTGCATATTTGTTCCTTTTAAAATGTCCTTAATAAGTGCACATTTATTTTATACATACTATATCTTAGATGTAGAAATGAACTGCCCAAAAGCTGCTTTTTGAGATTATCTGTTAGGCTCAGAGTTTGAAAAAATTTAGCTTCAGTAATGCCTGATGCTTTTTAGCAGAAAAAACTAATAGTCATAAAGAAAATCCAGTCCTATTAGAAAAAAGTGAAATAAAGAAATCACAACTGACACAGCAGCTTTTATCCAAACAGAAAACACTTTATTATGAACAGGTTTGACATTAAAATCCTTCAGTTTAAAAAAAGGAAAAGGGTGGTGGAAGCACAAGATAAAACAGGATAGTGAACGCCCCTGAGGAGAAACAACGCAAATGTCTTTGAACGCGATGAACTGTCAGAATGAGAGAGGCAACATCAACAAATCTCTCTTTGAGGAAACAGGAATATCAGATGCGGTCACATGGGAACGCTCCTAAATTTAAGGAGAGGAAAGGGGGGGGGGGGGGGATGAAAAAAAACTGTGTGGTTAAACTGAGTTGACATGCAAAAGACGAGCAATGTAGCATCAGTGAGGTAGAGGGTGAACAGAAACACAAGAGGAAACACGTTTGAATATATTTACATCACGTACAGGAGCGCTTTACTTAACCAGACCAGACTTTACTGGAATCTCCAAAAAAGACTCTTGGATAAACCTTATATAATAACTTCTGTTAAAGCCACAACAATTCAAAATTATGTGAGCATAACAATCATTTTCATTTGGAGCAGCAGCTGAGGGGTCGGTGACATTCGCGTCTGGCTGAGCGGAAGATCTACTTTTTGGTGTGCTTAAAATAACTTGCACCCCTCAGTTCACCCACACTGTTACTTCCACATCAGCAGCTTCAATCCAGTGGCGTCTCACGGGCAGATCGGAGGAGGGGTTCCTGCAGAACAGGCGTCACAGTTTCAGCGGGATGACGGGCCAGTATTTGGGCTGTTTGAGGTCACAGTGTCTGTCGAAGTTGAGCTGCATGGCCGCCTCCATGGCCTGGATCTTGGCGGAGTCCTTGCCGTAGAGCTTCTTCATCTCGGACCCACGTCGCTCTCCGGGTCTCTCTGAGGGGGGGGCCATGCTGTTTCTCCAGGAGCCGCTGCGCAGGTCCTGGTCTGCAGGCACGTAGCTCTCATGCTCCTCCGCCTCGATCTGCTGCTGCTTCTCTGCAAGGACAAGAACAATTGATTCAGGGAATGCACTTAACTATAATGACACTCTTTCTCTCAGTGCCCTGTTCTCTTACTCAGCTCCTCTCTGTGTTTCTCTGTGTGGGCGAAGTACTCCCGCAGCTCCTCGCTGATCTCCATGTTGCTGACGTCACACTCGATCTCGCTGTCCGAGCTGCTCTCCTCATCCCCGTCCTCTCCATCTTCCTGTCCTGCGTTCCAGTCTTCGTACCGATGGCTGCTGGGACACGGCTCCTGGCTGTGAGCGTGGCTGTGAGCCTGGCTGTGAGGAGGGCCGTAGGCGGCCTCCAAGGCCTTCCTGTAGGCCCGCTGGTGCCTCTGGTGCCAGGCCATGGCTTGCTGGTAGTGCTGCCAGTAGCGGCTGTACACAGGGCTGGAGAACCTGGACATCACACTGCTTATGTTCTCCTAGTAGTGAGAAAGATTGATGGTTATTGCATTGTTTTCTCAGCCTTTTCTTAACAAATCAGCCGGTTGTACATAACTTTAGAAGCTATTCCAGGCACTTTTGCACAGAAATGTTTCCAACTGGCAGTGAATCAGATCAAAAACGTAATGTGTTGTCAACTACCTAAGATCAGAGGAGAATGGAAACAGAGTTCCTACAGCTCAGGGCAAGTTACGTTTAAGACTTTGTTGTTATGCCACTAAAAATCCAATTTAAGACCAAATTCAAACCAAAATTGTACTTCCTGATGTAAGCAAGTAAAAGTATGTTTTGAACTGCATGTAAACGTTTGGGCAACTTCTCTCTCGGTCGATTGCTCTGAATAATTCTAAAGACTTTTGAAGTAATGAATTTGACCCCGTTATGTTTTAAGAATTTATAAGGATAAATTAGAAAGCTGGCAAAATGTCACGTTATTACTAATAATGAAAGATAAAGCAAGCGTAGTAAGAGGAAGCAGCTGAATATGAATACGTTAAACTACTATAGTAATAATACGACTCTAAAACAGTTAACTTTCAGGGTTTAAAAGGAATGGCAGAAACACGCTGCTGACGTTTTAAAAGCAACAAATGAACGCCAAAAACTAAACCGTGCAACTAAAGTTAATACATGTGCAGTTTAAGATGTATTTACTTGCTGTACGCATCTCATTTGCGCACATTTACCTCCATGTTGTGTTGTGATGGATACTTCCGGGTAGACTGGTAGATTTCCCAGCAGCCTTTGGGCCAAGGCAAATAAATCCTGTTTACTTGGCGCCATCTAGCGGACACTGCGCGCTCCTGCATGACATAATAAGATTGCTAATATTAATCCTATAAATTAAATTATTGCAGCAGAATTAAGTTCAACAAATAACAGAAATAAATAAAAGCAGAAATTATAATAAAAATAGAATAATTTTTGTAACTTTACTATAAAAAATGTAGATACATTTTATGGCAACCAGGAGTAGTCTATATACAAATATCGTGTAATGGTTTTCAATGTTTTTAATGTATAGAATATAGTGCAATAGTAAATGTAAAATATAAATGAAATATAGCAGTTTATAATACACATTATGACATAATATGGATGAAATTTGACATATAGCATTAGGTGTAATAATCTTGTAGTAAAACACAGTAGTGTTGTGTCTTGTTAAGTTAATTTAGTTCAGTCTTGTCTTGTGACTTCCTGTTTTATCTTCCTGCATTCCCTCTCGTTTCAGATGTTTTTACTTCCTGCCTTTGTGTGTTTTCCCTTCACTGTGATTGTGGACCCTGCCCTGATTGTTTTCACCTGTGTCCCCTTACCTTGTCTATGTATAGGCCCTGTCTCCCTTTGTCTCGTGCCAGTTCGTCTCGTTCCATGTGTCAGGCAACCAGCGTCAGGTCCATGTTTTTATATTGTCCTTTTGTATCCGAGCCAAGTTTTGTTTGATATTTTGTCCTTTTGCATTTTTGACTATTACCTGTTTTTCTCATCCTCGTAACAATGTTTTTTATTGTCTCATATGTTTACCTCTATTGACTTGAGTGATTTGATCTTGTACCTTGGCGTTTAGTAATGGTCTCTAATCAAATAAATGTAATAGTGAGGTTTTAATATCTTCTATTTCGAACCATTTTTGAAAGTCTTTTTGTCTAATAATGCTCTTTTTATCCATGTTTCTAGTGTCTTACAGTATAGTTATCCAACATCTGATGTAAAATATGATCCGTTTGTGCTGTTTTGTTTAAGGTGAAGCTATAAGGCTGTGGACATGGGCATGAATGACATTTCATCATGGTCAAAGGTGAAGTCTAACCTCTTTATCACAGTCTATAAATCAGAATTATGTTAATTTTCCTACGTAATTTGACTTCACGTGTACTCAAGCTGTTTTCATTGTCTGAAATTCCAACAGGTCGAATCCTATACTTTATCTAAATGAGAGAAATATATGTTTTTAACTGAATGTGAGCAAGGACACAATTCTATTTCAGGATGTGGGTGTGTAAAACGGAGTATTTCTGCACTGTGTGTGTGAGAGACATGTTTGAGTGTATATCTGGGTCATGCTTTGGCTCGGGGCTTCAGAGCTTTCAGAGGGATGCAAAAAGACAGATGTGGCTTTTCAAAACACATTTCCTCTTCTGATGTCTGACTGGATGAGTGAACACAAAATAAAGTGTTTTCTATATTGCAAAACATTATTACTTCCTTGAATATCAGATTGCTGTGTAAGTAGCAGTCAATGTATAAATAGCTTCTGAATGATATTGCATTACATAATTATCCATCTATGAAATGAGCTTGTCGTTTTGTTCTTCTTTTAGCCAGATTAAATACAGTGGCTCATGTATTTTGTGCCTCTACTGTGACACTGTTTAAACAGTGTTGTTGTGATTGAGCGATGCAGTTTAGCCTTGCTTTAACAATTGAACTGCAATATCTTCAGGATTTTCACTATAAGAGAGGGGTTTTCCCAGTAAAGTCACACACTGGGGGGAATGGGTGGGGTACAATTTGATTATTACAACACAATGCTACAGTGGAGGAAATCTAATCAGATGACTCAGTACTCCAGTCACAGAGTGTTACCTGTATCTCTGCAGACTCCTCATGGACCTCCGACAGACAGCTGTGCTGCTCTGACCTCCTGGGAATCCTTCTGTTCCTGTGTGAAGGTAGGTCTGCAGGAAATATTTACTTTACTGAGGTACTAAAACAACACTTTATCCATCCAAATATGAAGATTTAACATGTTCCAAATTAATTAATTAATTCATTGGTTCCTCGCGTTAATGACGCGAAGAACCAAAGTTGCTTTGAGCTGAAGCTTTCTATTCACAGCCCGAGCTCAGGCCTCTAAATATGTGATAACCACAGAGCAGACACCTCAGTATTAGCAAGTTTTGTGACGTATAATTCAAACTAACTGCAAGACCAAAGCATGTAGTACTTCACATGTGTTGCATTCGGTGACTGTAGACCTGACCATCTGCATCGACACGGCATAAGAAGCGGTCAGATACAGTAAAGCAGAAACTCCTGACTTCCTTTAAAGACATTTCTCACCACCTGTGAGAGAGTGAGGTTTAGGTGTTCAGAGATGTGCGTCCTCTTCTCTTCAGAACAGGATACACTCGCTTCTTGACCGGTATGGAAGCAAAATGGAGACTGTTCTTGCTTCTGCTTCTGCCTCTAACAAAGTGCGAAGGTAAAGTACTGAAACATATTTGTGCAAATCGATGCATCTTGTTTTTCTCTGTCTTTGGTTTAAAGAGGACATCTTAACATCTTCACTAGTTTCTCTTTAGTGGGATTCAAAATATAATTTAGTGTTCACAAAAAACACAAAAACAGCTGCTAACTCAAACTTTCTGTTTTGTATCTAAGGCAGTTTGAGGTTAATATCAGCCCTTCCACCTTTAATAGAGTATAGAGAGGACGGATCATTCTAATTCTCAGGTGTATATCAGTATGTAGTGTCTCTCCTGGGACATGTCTCCAGGCTTTAATGTTCAGAAAGCTCTTTATTTTTCTCATACTGCCTGTGCTGCAGCACCTCTTTTCACCCTCTGTCTGAAGCCAGAGCCCAGTCTGCTCTGATTGGTTAGCTGGCCGGCTCTGCTTAGGCTAAGGGGCGGGACATCTCCATCACGTACAATTAGTTGGAGCGCTAGCCAATAGAAAAGCGAGTGTTACATAGTGATGGCACTATCTTCCACAAGTAAACAAAGGAGTCCAACGGAGGTGTTTAAGGCAGGGGGGGGGGGGGGGGGTGTGCTAGTTTTGCAATGTGATGGACTAACAAATACCCTCATAAGCTTCTTATCTTTACTTTTCTTGCAGTGACTATAGTGAAAACCATCAGGAGAGGACCAGACGTCACTGAAATATGTGTTAATAATACACAGAATCCCATCGCAATGATAGTCTGTAAGATCAAAACAGAAAGGAACAGAACAGAGTGCAATCTGCAGTATGAACCGATAGAGGGCTTCGTGCAAACATGTGACTCCAGGTTCTCTCTGAAGACGGAGAATCAGACTGTGTTTCTCCACCTGATGAATTTAACACCGGTGGATAGTGGGAACCACACCTGTGAATGTTCTAATCCTGAGGGAACAGATATCTACCATCTGAACATCACTGTGGAAGGTAAATGCAATATTACATCAAACTGTGTGTACATTCTTACAAATAGAGTGAATGTCAAATTTCTAACAATCATGTTTTTCTTTATTACATTTTAGAAGATGGAGACGAAAGCATTTCAACACAAATACCGATCCCAGGTATTTTGATTGGTGCAGCTGTATTCATCATCATAACTGCAGTTACCATCTGGTGTGTCTGCAGGAGAATACATCAAGGGTGAGACTTCTTTCATATTCAGAATATCTCTTGAAGATGAGCTTTTTTTCCTGTGTGTATTTGGTGTTTTATTGACTCTTCCTTTCTTTAAAGTGTCTGTTCAAGGTCAGCCACATCTGGATCATCTGTGTGTGAAAATCCCGGCAATTTGGTGAGTGATGATTTCTTTAAACTCAGAAAGCAGTCAGTAGATGTGTATAAAATGATATATAAATGATGCACAAACCCTATATAACAAACTACAGGAAAGGTAAAGCCCAAAAAGCATATTAGGACCTCTTTAAAACAAGTATTGCATTAAGATTAGTATTTTTACAGGATGAAGATGACCCTGATGACCCCTACACAGCCCTCCAACAGCCAGACAGTGATCTCTACCAGAGTGTCACTAATTCAGCCGGCAGAGAGACGGATGCAAGCTGCAAACTCTATGCTAACGTTTAACCAAAGATCAAGAGAACAGCACTGTATAACATGTTGGCAACTTTTGAGATGATCCTACAATAATATTCTTTTTTATCATAAACAAATCAACATTTATTTTTAAAACTTGTCAGGTTTAATGATGGATTTGTATAAAAGACAAAGAATTAGCTAACTTGAGTGTAAAACTGTGCCTAAAAATGGTGTCTTACTTGGACCACTTAGACTGGCTATTGGTGTTTAATTATTGGGATTTTAAAATACATTACAACTGCATGATTGCTAACTGAAGAATTAAAACCCCTAAATATTCGTCTTCTTGTGCACAGTGTGTTTCCGTGTGAACAAAGTGAATCGTCTTGCATGAAGTGAGGTAGGTTTTTGTCACCATGTAAAATGCTGTCTGCAGACGACACCCTGGTTTACTTGTTAAAGACGTGAGGAACCAAAGTTTCTATGAGCTGCAGCTTTCTATTCACAGCCCGAGCTCAGGCCTCTAAATATGGGATGACCACAGAGCAGACATCTAACTTCTAGCAAGTTTTGTGACGTACAACTCAAACTAAATGCAAGACCAATGCATGTAGTACTTCACATGTGTTGCATTCAGTGACTGTAGACGTGACGGTCTGCATCGACACGGCATAAGAAGCGGTCAGATACAGTAAAGCAGAAGCTCCTGACTTCCTTTAAAGACATTTCTCACCACCTGTGAGAGAGTGAGGTTTAGGTGTTCAGAGATGTGCGTCCTCTTCTCTTCAGAACAGGATACACTCACTTCTTGACCGGTATGGAAGCAAAATGGAGACTGTTCTTGGTTCTGCTTCTGCCTCTAACAAAGTGCGAAGGTAAAGTACTGAAACATATTTGTGCAAATCGATGCATCTTGTTTTTCTCTGTCTTTGGTTTAAAGAGGACATCTTAACATCTTCAGTAGTTTCTCTTTAGTGGGATTACAAATATAATTTAGTGTTCACAAAAAACACAAAAACAGCTATTTACTCATACTTTCTGTTTTGTATTTAAGGCAGTTTGAGGTTAATATCAGCCCTTCCACCTTTAGAGTATAGAGAGGACGGATCATTCTAATTCTCAGGTGTATATCAGTATGTAGTGTCTCTCCTGGGACATGTCTCCATGCTTTAATGTTCAAAAAGCTCTTTATTTTTCTCATACTGCCTGTGCTGCAGCACCTCTTTTCACCCTCTGTCTGAAACCAGAGCCCAGTCTGCTCTGATTGGTTAGCTGGACGGCTCTGCTTAGAGAGGTCCCGCCCCTTAGCGCTTCACGTACAATGTGTTGGAGCGCTAGCCAACAGAAGCTTGAGTGTTCAATAGTGATGTCACTATGTTCAGGAAGTAACCAAAGGAGTCTAATGGAGGTATTTCAGGCAGGGGGATGCGCTAGTTTATGCTAGTTTTGCAATATGTTAAACAAAAAATATCCTCATAAGCTTCTTAACTTTTGATTTCTTGCAGTGACTATAGTGAAAACCATCGGGAGAGGACCAGACGTCACTGAAATATGTGTGAATAATACACAGAGTCCCATCACAATAATAGTGTGTAAGATCAGAACAGAAATAAGCGGAGAACAGTGTAATCTGCATTATGAACCGATAGAGGGCTTCGTGCAACAATGTGACTCCAGGTTCTCTCTGAAGACGGAGAATCAGACTGTGTCTCTCCACCTGATGAATTTAACAGCAGTGGACAGTGGGTTACACACCTGTGAATGTTCTAATCCTGAGGGAACATATATCTACCATCTGAACATCACTGTGGAAGGTAATGTAGATTGTAAAAATGTTTGCATGATGCCTACTTGGTGCATTTCTCACAGGTGTTCTTTTTCTAACCATTTTCTTTTCTTCAAGATGTTTTAGAGGATGTAGACGGCAGCATTTTCATTCAAATACCGATCCCAGGTATTTTGATTGGTGCAGCTGTATTCATCATTATAACTGCAGTTACCATCTGGTGTGTCTGCAGGAGATTACATCAAGGGTGAGAGACTTCTTTAATATTTAGAATATCTCTCAAAGATATGCTTTTTTTTCTGTGTGTATTTGTTGCTATACTAACTCTTATTTTCTTAAAGTGTCTGTTCAAGGTCAGCCACATCTGGATCATCTGCGTGTGAAAATCCCGGCAATTTGGTGAGTGATGATTTCTTTAAACTCAGAAAGCAGTCAGTAAATGTTTATAAAATGATGCACACAACCTATATATGTCACTACAGGAAAGGTAAACCCCAAAAAGCATATTAGGAACTCTTTAAAACAAGTATTGCATTAAGATTAGTATTTTTACAGGATGAAGATGACCCTGCTGACCCTGATGACCCCTACACAGCCCTCCAACAGCCAGACAGTGATCTCGACCAGAGTGTCTCTAACTCAGCCGGCAGAGAGACGGATGCAAGCTGCAAACTCTATGCTAACGTTTAACCAACAATCAAGAGAACAGCACTGTATAACATGTTGGCAACTTTTGAGATGATCCTACAATAATATTCTTTTTTATCATAAACAAATCAACATTTATTTTTAAAACTTGTCAGGTTTAATGATGGATTTGTATGAAAGACAAAGAATTAGCTAACTTGAGTGTAAAACTGTGCCTAAAAATGGTGTCTTACTTGGACCACTTAGACTGGCTATTGGTGTTTAGTTATTGGGATTTTAAAATACATTACAACTGCATGATTGCTAACTGAAGAATTAAAACCCCTAAATATTCAACTTCTTGTGCACAGTGTGTTTCCGTGTGAACAAAGTGAATCGTCTTGCATGAAGTGAGGTAGGTTTTTGTCACCATGTAAAAATGCTGTCTGCAGACGACACCCTGGTTTACTTGTTAAAGACGTGAGGAACCAAAGTTTCTATGAGCTGCAGCTTTCTATTCACAGCCCGAGCTCAGGCCTCTAAATATGTGATGACCACAGAGCAGACATCTAACTTCTAGCAAGTTTTGTGACGTACAACTCAAACTAAATGCAAGACCAAAGCAAGTAGTACTTCACATGTGTTGCATTCGGTGACTGTAGACCTGACCGTCTGCATCGACACGGCATAAGAAGCGGTCAGATACAGTAAAGCAGAAGCTCCTGACTTCCTTTAATGACATTTCTGACCACCTGTGAGAGAGTGAGGTTTAGGTGTTCAGAGATGTGCGTCCTCTTCTCTTCAGAACAGGATACACTCACTTCTTGACCGGTATGGAAGCAAAATGGAGACTGTTCTTGGTTCTGCTTCTGCCTCTAACAAAGTGCGAAGGTAAAGTACGGAAACATATTTGTGCAAATCGATGCATCTTGTTTTTCTCTGTCTTTGGTTTAAAGAGGACATCTTAACATCTTCAGTAGTTTTTCTTTAGTGGGATTAGAAATATAATTTAGTGTTCACAAAATACACAAAAACAGCTGCTAACTCAGACTTTCTGTTTTGTATTTAAGGCAGTTTGAGGTTAATATCAGCCCTTCCACCTTTAGAGTAAAGAGAGGACGGATTAGCTAATTCTCAGGTTCATATCAGTATGTAGTGTCTCTACTGTGACATGTCTCCATCCTTTAATGTTCAAAAAGCTCTTTATTTTTCTCATACTGCCTGTGCTGCAGCACCTCTTTTCACCCTCTGTCTGAAACCAGAGCCCAGTCTGCTCTGATTGGTTAGCTGGCCGGCTCTGCTTAGGCTAAGGGGCGGGACATCTCCATCACGTACAATTAGTTGGAGCGCTAGCCAATAGAAAAGCGAGTGTTACATAGTGATGGCACTATCTTCCACAAGTAAACAAAGGAGTCCAACGGAGGTGTTTAAGGCAGGGGGGGGGGGGGTGCTAGTTTTGCAATGTGATGGACTAACAAATACCCTCATAAGCTTCTTATCTTTACTTTTCTTGCAGTGACTATAGTGAAAACCATCGGGAGAGGACCAGACGTCACTGAAATATGTGTTAATACTACACAGAGTCCCATCGCATTCATAGTGTGTAAGATCAAAACAGAAAGGAACAGAACAGAGTGTCGTCTGCTGTATGAACCGATAGAGGGCTTCGTGCAAACATGTGACTCCAGGTTCTCTCTGAAGACGGAGAATCAGACTGTGTTTCTCCACCTGATGAATTTAACACCAGAGGATAGTGGGAACCACACCTGTGAATGTTCTAATCCTGAGGGAACAGATATCTACCATCTGAACATCACTGTGGAAGGTAAATGCAATATTACATCAAACTGTGTGTACATTCTACAAGTAGAGTGAATGTCAAATTTCTAACAATCATGTTTTTCTTTATTACATTTTAGAAGATGGAGACGAAAGCATTTCAACACAAATACCGATCCCAGGTATTTTGATTGGTGCAGCTGTATTCATCATCATAACTGCAGTTACCATCTGGTGTGTCTGCAGGAGAATACATCAAGGGTGAGACACTTCTTTCATATTCAGAATATCTCTTGAAGATGAGCTTTATTTTCTGTGTGTATTTGGTGTTTTATTGACTCTTCCTTTCTTTAAAGTGTCTGTTCAAGGTCAGCCACATCTGGATCATCTGTGTGTGAAAATCCCGGCAATTTGGTGAGTGATGATTTCTTTAAACTCAGAAAGCAGTCAGTAAATGTGTATAAAATGATGTATAAATGATGATCAAAACCTATATATCACAGTTATTACAGTAAAAGAAAACCCCCAAAAAGTATATTAGGGCCTCTTTAAAACAAGTATTGCATTAAGATTAGTATTTTTACAGGATGAAGATGACCCTGCTGACCCCTACACAGCCCTCCAACAGCCAGACAGTGATCTCGACCAGAGTGTCTCTAACTCAGCCGGCAGAGAGACGGATGCAAGCTGCAAACTCTATGCTAACGTTTAACCAAAAATCAAGTAAACAGCACTGTATAACATGTTGGCAACTTTTTAAGATGATCCTACAATAATATTCCTTTGTATCATAAACAAATCAGCATTTATTATTAAAACTTGTCAGGTTTAATGATGGATTTTTATGAAAGACAAAGAATGAGCTAACTTGAGTGTAAAACTGTCTAAAAATGGTGTCTTACTTGGACCACTTAGACTGGCTATTGGTGTTTAATTATTGGGATTTTAAAATACATTACAACTGCATGATTGCTAACTGAAGAATTAAAACCCCTAAATATTCGACTTCTTGTGCACAGTGTGTTTCCGTGTGAACAAAGTGAATTGTCTTGCATGAAGTGAGGTAGGTTTTTGTCACCATGTAAAAATGCTGTCTGCAGACGACACCCTGGTTTACTTGTTAAAGACGTGAGGAACCAAAATTGCATTGAGTTGCCGCTTTCTATTCACAGCCCGAGCTCAGGCCTCTAAATATGGGTTGACCACAGAGAAGACAACTCAGTATTGGCACGTTTTGTGACGTACAACTCAAACTAACCTCAAGACCAATGAACGCTACACTTGTAGACCCACCGATCTGCATCGACACCGGCATAAGAAGTGTTAGGATATAGTAAGAGTGTCGTCTTTTGAAAGCAGAAGCTCCTGTCAGCACTTCCTTTAATGACATTTCTCACCACCTATGTGAGAGTGTGAGGTTTAGGTGTTCAGAGATGTGCGTCCTCTTCTCTTCAGAGCAGGATACACTCGCTTCTTGACCGGTAATGGAAGCAAAATGGAGACTGTTCTTCGTTCTGCTTCTGCCACTGACTGCGTGTGAAGGTAATGAACAGAAAACACGTTTTAAAAAATGTATGCAAGTTGATTTTACCTGTCTTTGGTTTAAAGAGGACATCTTAACAGATTCAGTTTTCTTTAGTGGGATTAAAATATGATTTCGTTTTCACAAAATCTACAAATACAGCTGCTAACTCAAACTTTCTGCATAGTTTTTAAGTTTAATATCTGCTCTTTCACCTTAAATAGCATTTAAAGGGGCCTTATTTTGCTCATTTTCAGGTTCATATCAGTATGTAGTGTCTCTACTGGGACATGTTTCCATGCTTTAATGTTTAAAAAGCTCTTTATCCTTCTCATACTGCCTGTGCTGCAGCACCTCTTTTCACCCTCTGTCTAAAACCAGAGTCCAGTCTGCTCTGATTGGTTAGCTGGTCGGCTCTGTTTAGAGAAGTCCCGCCCCTTAGCGCTTCACGTACAATGTGTTGGAGCACTAGCCAATAGAAGCTTGAGTGTTCAATAGGGATGTCACTATGTTCAGGAAGTAACCAGAGGAGTCCAACAGAGGTGTTTCAGGCAGTGGGGATGCACTAGTTTGTGCTCGTTTTGCAATGTGTTAAAACAAAAAAAATCTAAAAATAAGCTTCTTAACTTTTGATTTCTTGCAGTGACTATAGTGAAAACCATCAGGAGAGGACCAGACGTCACTGAAATATGTGTTAATACTACACAGAGTCCCATCACATTCATAGTGTGTAAGATCAAAACAGAAAGGAACAGAACAGAGTGTCGTCTGCTGTATGAACCGATAGAGGGCTTCGTGCAAACATGTGACTCCAGGTTCTCTCTGAAGACAGAGAATCAGACTGTGTTTCTCCACCTGATTAATTTAACACCAGAGGACAGTGGGAACCACACCTGTGAATGTTCTAATCCTGAGGGAACAGATATCTACCATCTGAAAATCACTGTGGAAGGTAAATGCAATATTACATCAAACTGTGTGTACATTCTTACAAATAGAGCGAATACAAGTGTCAAATTTCTAACAATCATGTTTTTCTTTATTGTATTTTAGAAGACAGAGAGGAAATCAGTTCAACACAAATGCAGATCCCAGGTATTTTGATTGGTGCAGCTGTATTCATGATCATAACTGCAGTTATCCTCGGGTTCATCTACAGAGAAGCACTTAAGAGGTAGCTATATTTAAATGCACTGCAGTCTTGGGTGTGGCGTTCTTGTCTTTCAGTTTCATATAAAAAAAGACACTGCCTCTCATTTCCTGTTGTTTAAATAAAACTGCAGTGTGAAGCAGCATCAATACTAATGCATTGTTTTTTTAACCCAACAGACGACAACCACATCCCCAAAACACGGTAACGTACCTATACATTTAACATCTTCAATTATGTGTTTTTATTTAATCTGTTTTAATATAAATATATACACGTGTGTTTCTGCAGGAAGAGGACATAGAGCCGTACAGCACCTTCATGCAGAGAGAGAGCGGGCTTTATTCAACCGTCAGGATAAATATGAATAATCCCAATAACTCGCATGTTTCTGCCACAGAGGAAACTCTTTCTGGAAGCTTGTGAACAAACTGTTTCCCACAAGAGGACACTGTTTTACTTTGTGAATAATCCTGTGTCCCAAGGGAGTGTAATGACTACAATTGTTAGGAGCTGTTATTATATCACACTGTACAAATGATAAAAATCAGCAAACTGTCTTAAAAATAAATAGTACAAACTAAGTTGTTGTTTTTTTGGGCGTAAATCAGATCCAGAATAAGAACATATTATATTATACTATCATTAATTAGATTAGATACATATTTCATTTAGAATAAACAACAAATAGCAATTGTTTAGTCATGAAAATGACATGGAACATTTATTCTAATGCAATTTGATGGCAGGGATTTATGTTTGAGTAAATTACTATAATAAATATTTGCAATTTTGATACTTAAAAGGTCATTTTGATGCTTTCACTGCCATACTTATTATTGAGTTTTTCTACAGTGTAGCCACTTTTAATCAATCCTTTTTTGATAGCATGCTCAGAAAGCACTTAGTGATACACTTTGGGATGTTCTACTCTTAAAGTAAAAGTTGTTACCAAAATAAAGTGACTTCCTGCTGTGATAATAGGGTCATGCAGAGCAGGGGCGCTGGTGGTCTAGTAGTGAGCGGTTGTTCACAGGTGTTGGTGCTGCCGGATTTGGCCCCTATAACTTTGTCACACTGTCAGCAAAATCACACTGTTGTTGGTTGTTCTAAAGTTGTTTTGCATTTGTGACTTATTTAGCTGCTGCCAGGTAGCACAGGTACTTCCCAGGCTGATAGTTTTAAATTTCCAAAGTATACGTGGTGTTTAAATTACATGGTAGATATAAGATAGTCTTTCTGTGAAACACCTTCATACTATATTTAAACCTGGGACTTTCCTACTTAGAGTGTTATCTTAATGACTTTAGAGGTTTTTATAGCATGAATTAATGTGATAATGATATCATCATTCATTTTTATCCCCAAGGCTGCAAATTATAGTATTAGGCCTCTTCCACAGAATTAGAGCTAGGTTCTTTCCAAAGATAAAATAAAAAAATTCAGAGGAAATAAACAAGATTACACAAGAGATTTAATGATATGAGTGTTTGTTGCCAATCAAACATCAAACTTCCTGGGTTTAACCCCGCTTTGGGCTTCAAGTCTGTGTTCCCTCTTTGAATCCTTCCTGTTAGCGGGGCTGTGATACTTCCTGAAACTCAAAAGTTTCATGACAAAACATTCAGGAATGTTATGAAGGATGACTAAACGTGAAATCATATAACTAAAATGATTTTAAAGGGGCACTGTATGCTTTTTGGTGATCTCCTGGGGCCTTTCCTATAGTGAATAGGTTTTTGTGCATGTAAATGGTCTGCAAAGGCTACAATCTCTGTTCCCTCCAGAGGGAGTTTCTCTCCCACTCCCACAAACTCCCTGAACATGAGCCTAATAGGAACCCTTTAAATATTGAGGTGAAACATGCTTTACAAAAATGTGAATCCAGGAATAATTTAAACTCAAAACCAGGACTTGTATTTCTCTGAAAACAGCATTTCTCTGTTTTAGAGATGGAGATAGGACTGCCTTCTCATGGGCTTTCCAGTTCAGCTCGAGTAAACTGTGGCTCATAATGTACAGCCTTACATTGGTATCACTCTTTACATTTGATAGAGCGTCCACCACACTGAGGGGAAATGGTCTCTAGACCATGACACCTCTGTGGGAACTTCTGCTCTGGGATTTTTACTTACTTTACTACAAATTACTGAAGGTAAAGACACATTTACTGGAATTCACATTTACAATAAGAGCCAAGTTATGTGATTTTAAAGTCAAATATAAGATAAGATTTATTTTTAGAAGATACGATTTATTTTTGTTCGAAAAGCACCTGTAAAAGCGTTTGATAAATAAAATGTATTATTATTTATTTATTCATTCATTAAGTAAAAGTGCAAAAAGTATTATCATACTATGCTTAAAACACTAAAACTACTCATACAACTGGATGATAATTCAAATGTAATTGTTTGCATCTGTATATGGTGAAGCTGTCTTTAATGTACTTTTTTTTTTACTGTTGGGTGTCTTATTCCATTAAAGTACTTCATCATCCAGAAGATGATTTAAATGATTTATTAATGATATGAATCTGCAAAGTATGAGTAAATGTACTCAGTTACTTTCCCTGACAGACATCTCTGCAGAGAGTATATTTATTTTGTTTAAAACTCTTAATGACACAAAAAGCCAACCTTTTTTTCTATCAGAGCACTTAATCTCAAACAAATCAATAAGAGCTGATGTGTAGTTGTAGATTCCCCTCCGGCTCCTTCAGTTTCATTTCAGTTTTGTTCTGCCCTTTAAAAGCAGGAGAGGCAGAACTGAAAGTGTACTTGAACGCAGCAGCAACAGAACAAGATGTTACTGATCCTCACCATGACTGCTTTGCTGTTTACAGGTAAGAAGAGGGTTACCCTTCTGTATTCACTGCATACTGTTAGAGAATATATATCCAGATCTTTTGTTGTCAAATGTATAATATCATGTTGCCTATGTTTAATTTGTAGAATTGTTAAAGTGATTTTGTGATTTGATATCATATGTTAAAGGCTAGGACTTTTTCTCTTTTGAAAATCTACAGATAAGCTTAGTATTTTATTCACAGTCAAAGTGAATCCTTGTTATTTCTTTGAATGTTTGAAGCACAGGTTTTACTTTCATTCTCATACACTGACACAGCTGTTTCATTTCTTATCAGCATCCATGTCGCAGATTACTGGTTATGGAAATACGACAGTGGCATATGGACGGGATTCCAAATATGGATGTGCTGTAGCCAACCCGACAGGTAGGGAAAACTGTATTTATTTATTCATTGGTTGACTGACTGTCTGTCTGGCTTGCTGGTTGTTTGGTTGGTAAAATTGTAATATTTACCAAGTCCAATTAGTACTTGGAAAAAAATGGTTGATTGGAAATTTTCCATTTCCCAATAGGTGTGCAGCAGGTGACATGGCAAAGGTTTTTCCCGGACAGGCCCATAGAGAATTTAGCGACGTTCAGTAAGCGGTTTGGGGAGCATGTGAATGATCCCTACAGAGGGAAGGTGATCTTCACAGAGGCGACGCTCAGCTCATCTTCCATCACTCTGGCCAACGTCACCTGGGCGGATGAAAGCTGTTATATCTGCGTCTTCAACGTGTTTCCTGAGGCGTCCATGAGGAAGCAGATATGCCTCACAGTGCAAGGTAAATGCAACAACATGTAGGGAAAAAGTCCAAATAATGTAATTGCTTGGATTACCTAAATATCATATGCAATGCAAATAAATTAAAGAGTAAAGTATACACAACAATGAAAAACATGAGCACATATACTACAGTTTAAAAAGCAGAAATAAGATCTAAACTGACAGAAAATGCTGTGCTCTCTGAACAGTACAGCTTGCAAGGAAAAAATCAAATCTGATCCTTTTGCAACAAACACATTATTCTCTTTTTAGTTTTTTGCAACAATAATCTCATTACGTCTCTTTGCATGTAACTGTAATCAGTTACTCCTCAAGCCTGCAAAGTATTTAGGTCAGTGTTTTCTTATTTTCTATTCTAAGGAATATCCAGTTTTAAAACAGAAGTGCATGCTCCCAGCAGTGACCCTGAGGAAGAGGAGGAAGAAGAGGTTGTGTTCAGCTGCTCTGCTACAGGAAAACCAGCTCCAACCATACAGTGGGACATCCCTTCTGAAGCCACCCACACACACCGGCAGCTGATCACTACAGTAGCAAATGGAGACCAGACGTTTACCAGCAGCAGCAACATCACACTGCGACTCCCTGCTGGGAGGGAAGGACATGTGGACTGCCTGCTGAACAGTGGAGCCATGGGACAGAGGAGGGAGAGGATTCCCTTTTATTTACCTGCCAGGGAAGAGGAAGGTATGCATGACAATCCTTTTGTATTACATGTTCTTTAGCTGGAAGTTACTCATGATGATCAGCATCCTGTAGAAGTTCCGGAAATGTGCGGAATTATTATACTGACTGACTGGAAGGATGTTTACTGACTTCACACCCTGCCCACAGTGTCGGCACAGGAGGTGTCATACTCACTTAAAGGAATGTGAGTATGACACCCTCATACTCACATTCCATATCAAGCTATAAAAAGCATTTTACTCTGGGTTCCAGTTAAAAAAATGTAAGGGCGCTTTTAAATCTGGCAAAGCTGGTGTTATGGCTGCCGGATTTCCCCCCTCTGTAACTTTAACCAGGATGGAACTTTTTTAACACAAAGTTGTAATATCCTACAAGTGTCTCCTTTGTTTACTGCCGGTACGCCACACTTCTATTGTTAAACTGCTATGCTGTGACTCATCATTGACAGTAAGTTTCCTCATACTGCACATTACAAGAAGTCAAAAAACTCCCAGAGCTCGAGACTGTGTAAACAGAGTCAGCTGTGCAGTAAAGCCCCCTAATTTTAGATGTTGTTTCAGTTTCACTTCTTCTTAGCTTTCATGTTGACCAGCAGGACAATGATTTGCTGCGTCATCATCTGCTCTCTGGGTCGACTCGTGACAGATCATGTTACCCTGACATTTCCCACCTTCCTCTTTCTCTTTTAACGGTCATTAACCTTAATCTTGTTCTGTGTGCAGGGAAAACACAGTCCACCTCAGGGACTGCACTTGTGACTTCTGCTGTAGTTTCAGTCACTTTCATCATCATCATCATCATCATCATCGTTGTTGTTGTTGCAATAAAGCGAACAAGGTGAGATATTTAACATTTGTACATACTTCTCCTTATAGTGAGGTATTACAAGTAGGGTTAACAAGCTTTTCTTTCTTCCTGGCAGGTTAAGGAGACCAGAAGAAAGGAAAATGGGCAATAATGATTTAAATTTAGTTTTAATGTAACCTTTAATAGTGTTTAATATAAAAGCTGCAAACCAAGGATCACAGATAGTATTTAAAACATTTCTTTGTAATTTAATTATTCAGCACTTTATGCATCAGCAAAGTTCAGGAGTGGTCAAATGTTTACAAAAGGATTTTTTCACTGTCTACTTTCAAGTTTAATCCATCACATGTAGAAAGCACTTCGCTGTTATTCAGGGTGAGAGTGACGGCAGCATAGTGCAATATAAAAGGTTTTCATTAACAGGAAGATATGAAAAACTGTTTTGGTGCAAGGTGTGCTGTGTGGGGAAGAAAGAGAAAGCAGGAAGAAAATCACAGGAAGAAAAATATATATTATTGTGTTAATTTTGCAGCAAATTTGACCTCTAATTAAGTTGATTATAGAGCAAACCAGGTGATTGTTTAAGTCAACAATAAGAATCTATATTTATTATATTTATTAATTATACATCATATTTAACATCATATATGGCGTGTGGCGCAGTGGGTAGAGCCTTGGTGTTGGGATAAGGGCAGCACAGGTTCAAACCCCACTGCAGTCAGCATGTCGTTGTGTCCCTGAGACACTTCACCCCAAATTGCTCCTGTGGGGATTGTCCACAGTATTGAATATGTAAGTCGCTTTGGATAAAAGCGTCTAACAAGTAACATGTAATAATGATAATATATGTATGTTGCTGCTATTTTGCACTTTTCTGGCAGTTTTGCACTTTAACGTTTCTGTCCAAATGTTATTTATTGCACCACAGACATATTTCCTCATAAACTGTAACTGTAGGGCTCTATATGTGTTAAAAAGCTAATTGTGTGTATTCATTTACTGTTGCATCACTGTTTTACACTGGATTATTAAACTATTATCTGCAATATGTTCAACGTGTTGAAACTGTGTGTTATAAATAATTTATTCTCTAACTAGATTTTGGGTTAATAAAACCAGAGGTGTAAAGTAACTAAGTACATTTACTCGAGTACTGTACTTAAGTAAGAGTATTTCATTTTTTCTCTGTCTTCTACAATTCATAGGCAAATATTGTACTTATACTCAACTACTTGTATTAGTCCCTTAAGTTACTTACAGATTTTGATTAATGATGTGAAATAAAGTGAGTAAATTCACAAGCTACCCTGTAGTATATAAAAGTCATTAAAACTAGCTGCACCTTTACCAGCTTTGATAACACTTTAATGATCAATCGTTATAAATCATATCATATAAATGATTCTGAAATGGGACAATCTGCATAATGAGTACTACAAATACTTTTGTACTTTTACTTGAGTAACCTTTTGAATGCAGGACTTTCACTTTCCTTTTTTATTTCAATTCCAACTTTGGTCATGAAGAATATGTTTCTCTGTTGTCCCCGTTCATAAAGCATAAAACAACAGCATCAGAGCACGGTGCAGAGTTTCTAGATGAGTTTACAGTAGTCCCTCGTTCTTATTACATCCATGTTGTAGTCCGCTGTATAGAAAACTGTAGTTTCCATAGTTTCCCCACAGCAGCAGACGCACATTTATGACGTCCGCTGGCGCATCATAAACACGTCGGATAGTGAAAGTGCAGTCGGATTCTCTAAAGTACCGCAGTCTCTTCTCCTAAATCCTTTTGAATTCTCCTATCCACTATCCCTTAACCCGATGGGTTTCACTCAAGGAATAGACGATAGAATTTAGGAGCTGATTTTTGGACTATTCGACTGCAACCCATATCTGAGTGCTTCTTTCGTTAACGATTAATGATTTAGTTTCGATTTGACCGGAAGCTGTCAGTGAAAGTTTTGAATTTGAACCTTTATATATACAGTCTATGATTTGAACGTTAGGCGGTTAATGTAGGTGAAGATGGCTCGACATGCGGTTATATTCCTCTGTGCGTTTGGACTATTTCAGAAAGGTAAGAAATAGAAGATACATTAATGTTTTATAACCTTATTTATTATTCTTAAACACACCGCTGGGTGAACTTTGTAGCGTTGTTGTTCTTTGTTTAGTAGGAAGGGTAGTACGTTTTGGCGGTTAAATAAAAGGATAATATTATTTGTGTCATAAAATGTATATTTTATATCGTATTTTGAAAAGATACAAATTACTTTCTGACTAAAACGTCACCACAAGGCAACTATATTTGTATAGCAGCTTTCAATACAAGGCAATTCAAGGTGCTTTACAAAAATGAAAGACATTAAGAGCATTGAGAAATAATTCAGCGAGATTATAAAATGACTACTAAACATTTGATTAAAAGCAAAGAGGATAACATATACATGGAACAGGCTATAAAATACATGAAGTTACAGTGCAGTGTAAAAATATTCATAGTTCGATTTTTAAAAGAAGGTAACACTGCATTTTACGTTAAAACCTGTTATGTCAGAATAATGACCTTATAGTTAGTTTTAACTATTTGAACTGTATGTACTGAGTTTAACTATTGAAAGTGTCTGAGGACTGTGTTTAAAAAAAGTATATAAAGACATCTTGAAGCAAAATGCATGTCTTTCCTGCTCTAAGAAGAAAAATGACGTCTCAAGCATGCAATTGCAGGCATTGAATATATAAATCCTCACTGTTTTTTTACTGTTGGAAGTAATGTTTCTCCCTGAAACTGTCCCCTCCTGCAGGTCTGAGCGCTCTGGTAGAGACCCAGCACACTGTGATGGCAGGAGTGGGAGAAGAGTCATGCTTACAGTGTCAGCTCATGCAATCCAAGAATGTTCTGCAAGTCACCTGGCAGAAAGTCCTCCCTGCGGGCGATGGCGAGGAAAATATCGCTACTTACACCAGAAAGTTTGGTCGGACAGTGAATCCTGGTTTTAATGGAAGAGTGGAGTTTAAAACTGCTGGACTGCAGAACTGCTCCATAAATATCATGAACGTCACGGAGCGAGATGAAGGATGCTATCGCTGTCTGTTTAACACCATCCCTGAAGGTGCTTTCATCGGGATAACCTGCCTCCAGATCTATGGTAAGAGACTTTGTTAAAAAACCTATTTATTTTAGGGAATGGGACGTCATCAACAGCAGGTCAGCCATCTTCTAAGGATACGATACTTCATTTTAATAGCATGCAGGTGTAGGTGCTAACTCCCATCACCAGACAGACGGAGTTAAGGGGAAATGTATTTTGTGTGTACTTTATGAATTTTGGATGCTAAATATCAACGTCCCACAATGCACCGCGGTTCCCATTCCCTCATCTGCCTTCTCTGTATTAAAATCTGTTTCTCTTTGCAGAGCTGCACGGACCCTTTTTGCACGTCGTAGACTCGGTGGTCTCCTGCTCAGCTACAGGTCGACCTGCTCCCACGGTAACCCTGACTCTTCCTCACAACTCTACATCTGTCGCCAATAGCAACGGAACATTCACTGTCACCGTGACAGCTCGTCTTCACAACAACAGCAGAGAGGTTGTATGTGCCGCACAAGTTCTCTCGGCTCCTCAGAAAGAGGCGTCCATGACGATCTCTGAGGTTAACATGTCGGCTATTAAAGGTGAGAGACACTTCCACAAAAATCCAAGAAAATTAACGATTTCTCTATAGCTCATTGTTTTTATTTTCCAGGTTCTAAAGAAGACTCCCGGCCTGATAACAGTGGTGTTGGTAAGTTATCCTGTAGGTGACCTTAAGTCAGTATGACAATTCTATCTGTATTTTGCTTTATTCATGTTTTTCCATCTTTTCTCACAGCTTTGGCTCTGATCATTGTGTCTGTGGTACTCTTCTGTGTGTGTGTTGCTGTTGCAATCATCGCCTTCCTGTGTAGAAGAAGACATCTGAAAAGGTAATTTTATACTTTTAACTCTACTCCTATTAAAGCACCTTTCCCACTGGACAAAAAACACTTTCACCTTTAAACAGGACATCTACATAAACTACATTTATTTCATACCTTTAGTCACTTTCAATTTTCTAATTAATAATGCAAAATATAATCAACTAATAATATGTTATAGGTTAAGATGTAGTCCTAGTCTGGCACAATGCTATGCCTCAAAGTGAATATATAATACATTAAATGTCTTCTTCTTCTTAAATCCTTCAGTGGGTCGGAGAAGGACTCTGAGAGGACCAAGACACCTCAGAAATCAACCAAAGACTCTCTTGAGTAAGTCAGTTTATTCCTTTATTATAAATATTTATCTTGATTCCTACTTCCCAAGAACTTATTTGAAACTGCTTCTTGTTTTTATCTGAAGGACCTGCACACCGTTAATGATGGAAGAGAACGAGCTACGGCTACGATGTTCTTCTGTGAAAAAAGAAAAACCTTCCGAGACATCAAATCTGAAAGTTAAAAAGAATCTTTTTTCATGATCACAAACTAAATCTCTCAGGACTGTAGAGCCACAACAGTTATATAGTCCTGAAACTATAACTCAACATGTCTGTTCCAGTTCATAGGAAAATATCCAGCAATCAGAAAGACTCATGAACAGCCATTTAGATATTTGTACTTAATCTGTGACATAATGTGGACCTTTTTTTTGTACATATTTGTCTTCTTTTATATTTGTTTATACTTTTTGTATTTGTTTTAATATAAAATGATCTGATATTAGATTAGATATACTTTATTGATCTCAAATTGGAATTTATTTTGCATGTAATTGCATTGCACATGAATTGACGTATAGAGTACACAATTTAAAATAAAAAACACTGTAGAAGACTCACCTGCTACTACGACTACTAAAAACACAGAATATGTGCTTTACAAAATGTGCAATTATCACAATCTTGAAATGATTGGGTATTTTTTCAAACTGATTATATATATAATGTTGTAAAATAAAATCTCAAAACTAAATTTGTGTTGATTTTGTTATTTTATAAGCATTACGGCTTAAGGGTGGAATTTTGGGGCTTTGAAAATAAATCATAATAACTTTATTAAAGGGTAATGTTACAAGTAAGGTAAAGGAGTTGTAAGATTTTGGTTTTCTATATTAATGGTGTATATTATGAGATAAAAAAAGAAGTAACAAACCCCAGATAAAATATAATTGTATTGGTAGTTTAGAAAATACAGTGGGGCAATATTAAGTAATGATAATCAGGTACTTCCAGAACATATTGACATAGATAAATAATCTTCTAAGAAATATATTTTGCTAAGTGTGTCAGGTGCATTTGTTGGGCTGCAGTTGCGTCGCATGGCCACTGGAGGTCGCACTTTCCACATTACTGCACTGATCTGATGCTTAGAGATCAGGCAGTGAATGCAGCAGCCGGAAACTCTGGGCGCTGCTCTGTGAGTTAAACCTGAAGCATGCTGCACTCTCACATTACCTGCAGCTCAGACAACACCTCACATACGGGAACTCTCAGTGTTTTCATCGGCCAGGGGGTGAGTTTGATGCTTTCTTCCGATTTTAGCTGCAGAAAATATGAAGATATGGAGCAACTTGAAAATGTTTGTAGTTGGTTTATTTCCTCCAACAATGTAAAAACACCTACATTAGTGTAATTGTGAAACTTTTTGGGATATGTCTGTGAAGATATGAATGTTGTAACACTTTGAAAACGACATTTAACGTCTTCTCGAGGTGTTGTTTTCCCTCATCATTAACTCGCACTCGCACACCGTGTCACTGACCTACATTTCAAAATAAGTTTAAATCCGCGTCAGTTAAGTTAATTACCTGTAAGCTTAATTGACTTGCTTACACCCTTATTTATAAACATCTTGCTGTTTTCTTAGTGTTTCTGGATGTATAAGTCCAGTTATACTATTTTTCTGTGGGTGAAATTATTTTACATTGCAATTCCTCTTTTTTTTATACAAAAATACAGTTTCAGCGTTTCGTTTTGTGAAAGAAATGTGGGAAAAAAGTGAAAAAGGTCATTCATTTGTGTACAAAACACAAATCTATTCAGTTAAATATGATTTTAATAGGGAAAAATTGTAACATCTCCATATTTTAGAGTCTCAAACTGGATTTTCTGACATTTGTGCATGAAAAATTAACCTAAAGTGCATTTTTGTTTTAGAAAGTTGTGGATTATTTCTTCTAATCATAGCAGTCCAGTACACATCTGGATGTAGTTTAGGATTTTAGTCCTTCTCTTGAAGTGTCAGCTCTCCTTATAGTGAAACTCATTACCTTTTTAAGCTCTACCTGCTAGTTTTGCACAATAAAAGCCCTTAGAGTTGATTGATGGGATCATATTTGAGACATCAGCAGTGACAAAGTGATTTAACTTGAGCTGAACAGAAGGCTCCATGTTTGAATCCAGATGTTTGGCACTGTAAAAGAAACACACACACAGCCCTGAGATGTGGTTTTTAGAGTCTGATCCCTGCTGTTTCCAGCCTTTTGTCCAAAGAATGACCTGAGAGTGGTACATTTACCCTCCACACACCCTTACACTCCTGTGGTGATCCAGTAGTGACTCCTCATTACACCTTGCATCACCATCCTGTAATTTCTCTGTGTTTGGATTTAGAAATCTCCAGGTAGTCTAGACATCAAAGTGTGTCGGCTTGTTTTTACCGCCGGATGATCGTGGCTTTACTGCACGTAGGTTATCACGTAAAACCTGCATTAGACCCCAGGGCACGTGTCCTGACTCAGCATCTGTTTGTTGTTGACGCTTGTACATTGCAGCTCCATGGCAACTAATCAGTGCTAGAAAAAATACTAGTAGATTTTGCACTTAAAGGGGCCCTATTCTGCTCATGTTCAGGTTCATGTTTATATTTAGTGTCTCTACTGTGACATGTCTCCATGCTTTAATGTTCAAAAAGCTCTTTATTTTTCTCATACTGCCTGTGCTGCAGCACCTCTTTTCACCCTCTGTCTAAAACCAGAGTCCAGTCTGCTCTGATTGGTTAGCTGGCCGGCTCTTAGTTGGTTTATATTTTGTATTAGCCAATAATCTGAATTTGTAGAAAGCTGTGACATAAATTAAGTGGAGTTCAAAGTAATATATTTGCCTTCAAATTGAGGAGTATGATCATATGTAGCATAAAATGGCTACTCAAGTCTAGTTAAAGTATGTCAAAATACTAAATGTACTTACCATCACTGCAACTAATGTCCCAAAGCTGCAAGATGAGGACATTTGTGTAGTTTTTTTCCAGTGTTAAGTAAAGAGTGTAATCTGTTATGATGATGTCATGGCTAATGTCATCCTCTGGCTCATGTTGCAGCAGGCGGTGTGTGAGTGAGATGCAGAGACTGTACTGACCAGCAGCAGCTCAACAACACTGGACCTCTGAGCGGGGTATGTCTTCATCTCAGCCTCCTCATCCTCATAGTTTCTGTACAGGTTTTCTGACAGTGTCTGTGTTTGCAGCAGCAGCCTGGATGTGATTCTGGCTCAGATCGTGTGTGTTGGTAACCCGGCCTCAGTGTGCGATGTGTGGACCCGCCCTCCTGTGTGTGCTGCTCTGGATCTCAGGACTGGCTGTGTCCAGGACGCAAGGTATGTTTCATATTCCTTATAGTTTTCATTTTATGGAGGAAAATCTAACTCTAGTGAGCTCAGTTTCCTTATAAATAAGGTGTCTTCTGTTTGAAAGAAATGTGGCCTTGATGATGCCCACAGAAGCACCATTTCTTTATCACTTACTCACCCTGATTTACCTTAAAATCTTTAAGAAAATACATTTGTTCAACGTGGAAACATAATTCAACCATGAACGACTAAAAAACAAAGAGAATTTCTGCTTAAAAAAGTTCACACAATATGGCAGAAGATGCGCAATAGGTGTTGTGTATATACATTAAAAAAGATAATACATTCACAACAAAGACAATCCAAATGTTAAAATGAAAATGTGAATATATATATATATATATATATATATATATATATATATATATATATATATATATATATATATATATATATATATACACAAATTAAATAAAACATTGATCCAGGTGGATGTCAACGATATATCAAGGTGCCACCAATTAATAAAAAATGTCTCTGTCTGATTTCAGGTCAGGTGGTAGCTCCTGCCAGTGTAACAGCAGAGGCAGGCCTCCCCCTGCTGCTCGGCTGCTCCGTCACCACGGAGACGGGCGACACCGTGCGGCAGGTACGGTGGCTCGACCGGCACAAGAAGGTCCTCCTGGCGTACGAGCCGAGCGAGCCGGTGCGCGTCAGCCATCAGGAGCCCAACGTGCAGCTCAACGCCTCGCACAGCAACGGCAGCTACATCACCATCCAGAGGGTGGGGTCCGAGGACGAGGGCTGCTACAGCTGCATCTTCGACGTGTTTCCCAGGGGCCCGCTGGAGGGGGCCACGTGCGTCAGCGTCACCGGTCAGTCCTGCTTAAACCTCACCAATTCCACCTTTGTTCCTCTTTCCACAGAGACAAATTAGGGTTACAAAGGGAGTTTGTTTTTCTAACTATTTCTCCTATGAGACAGGAAGTGGAGGGCTAATGAACCTGTAGATCCACAGGGAAGAAGCCCACCCAGCGAGATACTGTACCCTTCCTGTTGTTCCTATTAAATGTGCACACACTGTTTAATTACACCCAGGCTCCTGTCGTTAGACACAAGCCACTGTGCTGTAAAGTTTTTACTGTACAGCAGAAATTAATCAACAGACAAATAAACATGTAAGCAACAACACAGACTGAATAATTCGTCACTCAAACATTTCAATAATATAATTTTTTTTAATTATTATTTATATTACATTTTGCTTAATTGACAGTTCAATTTATACAGGGAACCCAAAACACAAAACAAATAAATTCTTTATCTTTCATATTGACTTGTGTCAGGTAAAGTGAGCCTACAGGGCAACAGGACGGCTCTGAGCGGCAGGCCGGTCACCCTCTCCTGCGAGTACAGCCTGCCTGAGAAGGTGCACCAGGTGTTGTGGAGGAAGACGGCGGAGCAGGGCGACACCTCCACCGTGGCGTCCTACACCAAGCGCGGCCACCACAACATCGAGGAGCGCTACAGGCGTCGGTTCAGCCTGAGCCGGACGCTGGACGACACCCAGCTCACCATCCAGGCCGTGAGTGCGCAGGACGAGGCCTGCTACACCTGCGAGTTCCACGCCTACCCGGACGGCACCAAGAGCGGCTCCGCCTGCCTCTCCGTCTACGGTGAGCGCATGTGTACTATGTGTTTTCTTATTGTAAGTGACACTGAGCCGGAATTCCTCAAATGCGAAAGTGTATGCCAGGTAAGTGTTTGGAGTAAATAGGTTGAGATCCTTTTAATAGAATCTAGGTTAAGGACCCTGACCTACTTTAAGATACTTTAAAGCTTAGTATGAGAAAAATAAAGACCTTTTTGGACATTAAAGCATGGAAACATGTCACAGTAGAGGCACAAAGTACAACTATGAAACTTGAAAATTAGCATAGTATTAGAAATACTATGGTCTTAAAATACTCCATTAAATGTCCTGATTTCCAAATGTACTGTAAGTACAAAAGTATTAGCATCAACATATACTTCAAGTACCAAAAGTGAAAGTACTCATTCTGCACAATGGCTCATTTCAGGATAATATAAAGTACACAATCAGCTTAGTATACTTCAATTATCAAAAGTACTTGTTATGCAGAATGACAGGCTGAACATAAACACTGCACAACTTAGGATTGTTTTCCACTTTGTCCTGGCGATGCATTGTGAGCAGTGTGTGTGTGTGTGTGTGTGTGTGTGCGTGTCCAACACATGGCTCAGGAGAAGGAAGGAAGCGCCTTTTATAAACAAACCTGGAGGTGAGAGGTCATTGAACTACTGTTCTGGAGACGGCGCTCTCATCTCTCCTCTTTTTTCCCGCTACTGTTCCAGAGAGGTGTCAACCACAGCATTAAAAGCAGAATTAGAAGTGGTTAGCGATGGTTCCAGGAAAGTGAGTGGCTGTTTACCCTCCCAATGTGTGAGTTTGTTTTATGTTGACAGAGGGAGGGGTGTGACTGATGGGAAAGACGTGCTTAATTTGGGTGAAAGCCGAGGGGATGAGTGGCGCGCTGTTTCCAGACACAAGGCCTCAGTGTGTGTTTCTCCTCGCTCTGCTCAACGGGCTTTGTCTCCGCTGACAGACACAAATCACCAGTTAGTGAATAGCTGCTGCGGCCGGTCGGAGGACAAAAACTAGTGTCATTGTGGAGGGAGAGTGATTGACAGGCGACAGACAATCCAATATAAGAATAATAACCAGCCACTTATCTGTGTTTCAGTTCTACCCAATCCAGAGGTGAGTCATGTGACCTCGTCCTCGGGGGTCTCTGAGGCCAACTGCACGGCCCGCTCCCGTCCCCCAGCAGAGATCACCTGGGACATCCCCGGGGAGAATCGAACGCTCGGACCGCCCGTTTCCTCTGCCTACGATCAGGGCGACGGCACCACTGTGGTGACGAGCACGGTGCTCCTCCAATCAGCGATCAAGGACCTGTCCGTCACCTGCGTGGTGCAACACCCGGGCCTGGAGAAACCTATAAGAGTGTCCCTGCCTACAGACGGTGAGACGCTAATATTTAAAACATGTAACAGTAGAGGCACAACATACAAATATGAACCTGAAGATGACTTAGAAAGTAATAAAGATAGCCCAGGTGAAAATCCACACTATAAATAACTGTATACATATATATGTTTATCTACTATTGAAGTGACAATAGTTGTGCAGATATTTCGCTTTTTTGAATTGAGCAGCTTCCCTTATTTGCAGGCAGATCTTACAAAGCACAAGTGAAAACACCTGTGCAAGTTATGCATCAGAACTGTCTGAAAATGTTGCCAAAGATGGTGGAAACCAGTCATATTTCTCATTCCTGGGTGCTGAGGTGAAGCAGAAACAGGCCCTTTGTTTTTCTCATGTGTGTATTCTTAGATATTTTAGTCATGTGTAATTATGGCTGCTCTGATGGAGTCCAGAGTTGTTATTCTGGGACCACATCACCTCTCGTTTAGTCCAGATGTCTTTTAAACATAAACTGTATTTGACTGTAAGTGTGTGTTTGCTGCAGTGGGATCGGCCAACATCGTCCTCCTGTCGATGTGCGGCGTGGCGGCCGTGGTGCTCCTGTGTCTGTGTGTGTGTGTCTGCAAGTGCTTCATGTGCAATGACGGTGAGTATCTGCACATTTACTTGAATACAAAGGAGTTGTTCCTTTGCTTTTCCAAAGGCATTCTGGGAAATGCAGGGGTGGTTACATCAGAAATACTGTAACTCCTGTTCTGAGAGTTTGTGAAGGTGGATGTTTTTCCAGCAGTTCAGGAAAACGTGGGTGAATAAAGTGAAAGATGGGCAGTTTGAGAAGCAGAAGGCTGAGGTTTAACTGTATAAACAACTTCGAAACCCTTCGAAATAAAAGTACAGGATCTCTACCATGGGAAGGAACACTTTGCCGTTAAGTAAATAGATTTGTTTGTGCTTGCCAAGTTTTAAGAGCCTTAGAGGAGCGAATATTTGGGAAATTCAGCTGTTTAAAAAGTAAGTAGCATGGGGGAATAATCTCAGATTTTGTTGTAGGTGTGTGTTGGTAAAGTGCGTGAACAACAGCACTGTGAAACCATGAAACGCCTCGCTGTAAAGGTCACCTCGCAGAGCCTTTCCACATAGAGCTGGTGTGCTAGCACTTCCTTTGAATCCTGTCAACACCTTTGCCACAGTCCCCTCAGTCAGACAGTGTGCTGCGTGTGGACCGCTGCCCATTTCCCCTTTATCAGAAGAGCTGTGCCCACCGCGGAGAGGCAGGGAAACGAAAAGTTATCGCTGCACTGACAGAAACTTTGGCTGACGCCGGTGCTTTTGCCCGCCAAGCATAAGTCGTAAGGGAAGGAAAACAAAAGTAGGCGGCGTCGATGTGTCGAGGTCATGGCGGTCCCACGGACACTCTCAGATTTGGCAAAGCACAATTTAGGCAGAGGTGGAAGAAGTACTCTGAGCCTTTTTTTAAAGGAGCCCTATTATGCATTTTTGTGGCACTAAATACTATGAGGTCCCAACGATGGATGACACATGGTTTTGATTCCTACTATATTTGTCACTTCATTGTTTTAAGCCTCAAAAACCAACATCTGACCACATGGGTCACACACAACAAAGGGCTGAATCAGGCTGCTGATTTAAGAGTGTTTCCCACATCTATCATTTATCTTAAATATTGTTTTTCACTGTGATTTATGGTTCTGTGTTGCACCATCTGTGGGATGTTTTACTAGGATGGCGGCTGCAAAAATAGATTGTTCTCGGGGAATAAAGAGCTCCCGTTTCTTTTAGACGTCACTTGAAAGTCTTTTCTCATGTATAACTCTGTGCATGCCTGAGCAGAAGTGGTAGAAGAAAATACCCTCTTTCTCCTTGAGACTGTGGAGAAGACGTTGGAGAGGAAAGCAGTGACATGAGCCCAAAGTTGGGAGCTTGCCCAGTTAAAAATAACCCTCAACTGTACACACACACACACACACACACACACACACACACACACACACACATTTTGCATGTCCCAGGTCATGTCAAGAGCACAGGCTTTTATTGTGACGGGGTTCAGACTGCAGTTTACTGGAAGAAAGCTGTGATGCATCTGTCCTTATTTGGAGCTGACTTCATTATTTTTTAAATATTTGTTCCACACACCAAGTGGCTTCTATTCATGCACATAATTTGCTTTTCATTCCCCTGATTTAACATAAATTAAATGAGCAGAATATGTCCCTTTTTTTTTAAATAGGAGTTAATACTGTCTGCATGGCTTAGATGCAGAAACTCAGAGAGATGTTCGGCCTACTGTAAACCCTCACTATGGCGAGTTGTGATGTCTGCGGGCACAAAGAGCTTTTTTATGGTCTCTTCTGAATCAGTGGGTGTCATCCAGCTTTCAATCACGGCTGGGAAGTAAGGCCGAGGTTGCTGTTCCAGTAAAATGTCTATTTGTGTCTGAGTTTCCATGTTTTCCAGGACTTTAGGGTACGGCGGTGGCACAGCTACAAGGACAGGGAGTCAACCTCGTATAAAGGCAATATTTTCATGAAAAGAGAGTGTTTTCAGTGGCACTTTTTTATCTGCAACACCACAGGAAGTACAGGGGAGGGACCATATCCGGCCATGAGGGCAGACATAAGGATAACACTGATTGTTCCTTAGAGATTAGACGTGGAAAAACAAGAAAACTGAACAGCAGGACAAGATGAAAATAAGAAAGTACGCCTGCCGCTCACACTACACTTTTTCTGATCCATTTCCCAGGTTCTCCGTCACACACTTCACTCCTGCTCTAATTGGCTTTTTGGGGCCACCTGTGTCGAGTGGGCCCTGCTAAATATCTCACATTGCTGCCACATGTACGTTGAGACGTTGCAGGCACTTAATCATGTCTGAAGAATTCCTGCAATGTTTCATTGTTCTTCTGCATGTGGTCTTTTTGGTTGTGAGTGGGTGTTTTTCTCTGGGTTTAGACTTGTTGTGTTTATTTATGCATTCCGGTGTGGGATTTATGTCAAGTAAACGCAACCCCAGCCCATGATATGAGGACATGTTTGCCTTGAGACACTCCCATTCTTCACTGGATGCAAACTGTCTGATTTCCTATTATTTCATACAGATTGTTGCGGGAATGAGTCAGAATTCTCGATGTTAACTTCCAGGTCAGCATACGAAAACACATTGGGAAAAAAGCAATAAATAGAAAAAATGTCAGTGTTATTTTCCCGGACATTTGGGCTTTCACTGAGCAAGGAATTAACGGGCCCCCCCTCCAAAGCTATATCCAGTTATTTGTATACATCCATGGACCTGTGAGGAAGAATGTGTGTTTCTTGAGACAGAGCTGACCAACTGACTGTGTCTCTTTCTTTCTGTGCAGAGTGATGTGAAGGCAGTCGTCTCTCCTGCTGTGATGAAGGTCCAGTGGAGCTCTGAGCCTGACCAGAGCCGAGCCACCAAGTCCTCTTGTCATTCACTACACAGTAAACAGAACTAACACTACACTATTTCATGATATATTTGACACTTACTGTAGAAATGTGGCCCAGATCATTGAGGAAGTCCTTGTGTCGGGGCATCCTGGGGGGTCGGTTGTGTGTGTGTTTGAATGTGTGAGGTCAACTCTAAGCTGTAGAGCTCTGTGATAAGATGTATATTTTTTGGATTTATCTGGCTCAAATAGAGGTCACTCTGTTCTTTTAAAGTGTTTTTGACTTTGTTGGGAAGATGTTAATATATTCAGTCATTTTTTCACAACAGAAATGTTGGCAGCTTTTTCATTATTCTTTTAAGCTCCTTTAAACATGGTTTCAATTCATTCATAAGTAATGAATAATTATATAAGTAACAAAGGGCTTTTAAAGGGGACATTTAATGCTGATATTCAGGTTTATGTCTATGCATTGGGCTTCTCCTAGAACATGTTACATGCTTAAATGTTCAGAAACTACTTTATTTTTCTTATATTATCTGTTTGAATTTACCTGTATTCACTCTCAGTCTGAAACGCTCCGTTTACACCTGTCTCTTTTAGTCCCCGCCCCCAAAAAAGCCTGCTCTTATTGGTTTAAATGGCTCCAAGTACCATAATGTATGTAAACAAGCACTGAGAAAGTGGCTTGTTCACTACTGCTTGATTGTTGACCACCAAAATGGCCACCACAGGGGGCTACGTCACCGTGAAACCCTTTATTTAGTGGTTGCCAAAATGAGAAAATATATTTAGAAAACTGGAAAAACAAATGAAAGGTTTGTTATTTAAAGCTGCTGTGTTTCTGATGGTTAAGGGTGGTCACTTATCACCTTCAGGCCCTAACACTCAAAAGAGATGTGTGTGTGTGTGTGTGTGTGTGTGTGTGTGTGTGTGTGTGTGTGTGTGTGTGTGTGTGTGTGTGTGTGTGTGTGTGTGTGTGTGTGTGTGTGTGTGTGTGTGTGTGTGTGTGTGTGTGTGTGTGTGTGTGTGTGTGTGTGTGTGTGTGTGTGTGTGTGTGTGTGTGTGTGTGTGTGTGTGTGTGTGTGTGTGTGTGTGTGTGGTACAGTATTTCATGACTTGCAGAGCTTCCATGTAGGGAGCATCACTGTAAGAATGTAACTTTTTATTTTTGAAAATATTAATTTTGACTTTATAGAAAAGTCGTTAATATCTTGTTTATCAGGAAAAAATATATATTTTCTATTAACAACTGATTTATGGTTTTACAGTAACTTTATATGTATATAAAGAGGATGTTGAGTGTTAACAGAAACCTTCGCTAAATTGTCTACCTGCTGTTTTATTTTTTCTTTAACCATGTTTTTAGTGTTATTGTGTTCTTTTGAAACAGTATTCAACTGTTTAGTATCCATAACAGTTGAGTTTCATGTGAAGATAAATTGAAGTTAGAAGTGGATCAGAAATAAAAAACCTAAGACTGTTCAGCTTTTGTTTCACTGCTTTGGAGATATTGAGTACAAATAAAATATGTTTGGTTAGAAATTATACCTCGAATTTCTGATTGAATTTGCAGAAATGTGATTCTTTCCACACTATGGGTAAATAACGTTACACAATACAAAACTCATTCCCTCCACAGCCCACTCCCAACACGTCAAATGTCATAATTCTTATCGCAGGTTTTATTTGAGTGAGTCAGTTGTGAGTCACGGAGGAATTGAGTTTCACACCCAAATTAATCATTTGGAAAACACATTGTTAAACAAGAGTTCAACGTCAAGTCAACAGGATGCAATTGCTTTCATTGTTCCTTAGAGTAGCATTTCCTTAAATAGTTCATATTTATTTATTTAATATTCTCATTGTATCCTTATTGCTATTTCATTCTTGTTTCATTTAGTCCTGTGTTGGTATTAAGCATTCTTATTAATCACAGTTATATGTTACTCTTGTGGAGGAAACTTCTGTGTAGCAATGCATGGAGTCACCGACTCAGGAAGGAGACACGGTGAGAGTTGGAGCTTTGATGTCAAACACTGATGGGTTTATTCAGAGTATTCGGCCGGAGGATTCACATCACAAATCAAAGAGTCAGAGGTTCTGACTACACGGTAGAGTTGCCACGTCAATTCTGAAGAGCCTCTCTCTATGTTAGACCTTTTAACTGGTTCACAGAGAATCAACATCTCTGAAGGAGTAGACTAAACAGCTGGGAACACTGAGCCACCTGCGTCCGACACTCATGGCCTCAAAGATTTCACATCTTAGAGTCCACAAACACCGATAAAGAAGTGCCTCAGCGTTCTCACAACAATTACCATTCGTGCCAGACAAGTTGACCGGTCACAAACTGGTGACAACAACACATATGGCACCAATGCCTTTCCTTAAAGGAGATAACAGACGTCAGAGTAGATCATAAAACGTCACAGAGCAAAAGGTTAGATATCTAGAAGAATTATTCCCTAACAACTCTGTTTTCAATGGGAAGATGAGTTAGTATTGTTTTTATTTTAGTTTTGTGAAGCCCTTTGAGTAGAAATTGCTATATATATAGGTGAAAATGCTCATTGATAAAAGAAAAAGGCTTATCAGGAGGAGACTGTGAGCTTATCTTGAGTGGATTTCATAATAAAAGCACAAGTGTTTTCTTGTTTTGTTCTTTAAGGACTTTTACACTGATAAGAAATAAGGATTTCACCTACTTGACATTTCCCCAAAGTGTTTATGAAATGAGCTCTGCGGTCTGAATTGAACCATTGTGACATTTTTTATGTAAATTGACATGTTTTCCCCTTCAGTTTCCACATTCCTCACAATGCCAGGAAGGGGTGAGTGGTTCCTTTGTTTCTTGGAGGCACTGGGTGGCATTTGACATATTTATATTGACTGCTATCAGTGAAGCCACAGATTGACTATTCATTTAAAAATGGAGGCTTATGTGGAGGAATCCGTTCTAACCTAGGTTGGATGATTAATTTCAGGGTTAATGCCTTAATGGAGGCACACTGAAAGGAAATAAAAAATATGTATGGCTTTGTTTCAGTAAAGTTATAAAATATCTGCCTTTTTAATACATAAGCCAGAGTGTTGCTGTTACACCACTAGATGGCGGCCATGTTTAATTAAGTTTCACCCTTGTTCAAAGGTTTTAGTTTCAGAATCAGAATCGTTTTTATTACTTGCATTGCATTAATGTAATGCATAATATTGTTATACACTTTTCTCCACTTGCAGTACACTGCCCCAAAATAACATAATAAACATTTAATAAAAGCTAGAAGCAGACCCATGCACACAGTTGTTGTACACTAAAGGGAAACAAGTCTCTACCTGCATGTGACATGATGGTGGGCGATGCAGTTGTTGGGTGGGGTGTTAGAAGTGTGTGTTTGCTCCATAGACTGTATATATAAGGTTTGCACGCAATGCAGCAATGTACGTGAAATGTGTAGCACTTTCAAAACCACAGAGTAGCACATCCCACAGGCCACGCTCTTCCATGTGCTTCACTTGCAGCCTTTCAATAAATCTGTTTTTATCATGTTTTTAGCTATTTAACCAGCTGGTACTTTCCCTTTACACAGATTGTATTCATGATAAAAGCTTAAAAAACATTATCAGACAATCAGTGTGGTTACAGCTTTGTTGCCACAAAATGTTCACTCAATATGTGTTCTGGAATCAATATGTGGCTTATGTTATTATATAAATATTGTGTCTAGGTGTCAAGCTTATTGGAGGTACATTTTATAAACTTAAATGAGGCAAATCATTTTTAAATTATGTTATTTTAATTGTCTTTAGTTATTGCTAGCTTTGCTCTTGTACACATTGGAGACCAAGTTGAGCAATCTCTTTATTATTGTCTTTAAAAGGTTTGTATTGTTGTAGAAATGACTCTCAGAATTATTCTTCACACGAGGGGGCCTGTGGTAATTTCAGGTTCAGTTTTTATTGACACTAGCTGGTTTCAGTCTGAAGTGAAAGGTGCCATTTCCTGGATTCAAGTGGATCTTTGCTTGAGGTAAAATCAAAACAACACAATGGTTTGTGCTCCAAACATACATGTACTTAAACACCTGTTTGTTAGCGGTGAGTAATACTGAATAATGGCATTGGAATACATTCAATCAAATGCTAACAATGCTAACACAATTAGCACCAACATTCAACAAATAATTATGTTTGGTGTGCAAAAACTTGCATTTAATGATTTAATGTATTTTTTTGTTCTTAATCTTCTTTTAATAGGAATGTTTAAGCTAACTTTCACCGTCGTTTTTAAGCTAAACAAGTAGCTAATTTAGCTTACTAGCAGAAAGCTAGCTTTTACCGATGTTTATGTGTTTATGTGACGTTTGGTTTTAATTCTGCTTCCTGTTTGTCCTTCAACAGACTTTCTACTACCAAAAGCACAACTGATACTGTAGGCAAGAAGAAACGCTACTTGAACAGAGGTACACACACACACACACACACACACTCACACACACACACACACACACACACACACACACACACACACACACACACACACACACACACAGTTAGATCTAGACAAATGGGACATTTCACAATGTGTTATTACAGCTTAAAGGCAAAATCAATATTCTATATATATTCATTTAAGACAGGAAACACATCATTAGGAAGAGATGTAATTTATTTACCATAAAAATACAAAATATGATAATAAAGCCAAGCAATGGTTAACACAAATCAGTAAAACTGTGAATAAATCAGATATAAGTTACAAGTTACAAATACTTGAAGTGAATTGGTTTTTCAGATTTGGTGGTTTTAAAGCACATACTTCAAGAGATTCAAAGGTGTATTGACATAACATATACACAACTACGGTGTAATTATGTAAAGTATGAACACTTAGATCGCATTTTCCTCAACAGTGCAATTTACAAGACATAACAAATTAAGTATATAAAAACAAAACAATAATGAAGGTCATTTGCATGTTTTGTAGGTTATTTTTGTCCACAAAGGTCTTTGAGATGGTGGCACAGATTAAATTCTTCTTGGCGAGGGCTGGAGGCTGCCATGTGGTATGGGTTTCTCGGCTGGGATTGCAATGTACTGCAAACATTCAAAGCATTTATTTTGTTAAAATATGTCTCAATATAAAATTGGTTTAAAGCCTTTTTCTCAAATGAATTCCAGAAGATATCAGGAGAACCTGGTCTGGACAGTTTCTCGTACAGTATACTGGAAATACTTTGTTTAGTTGAGGTGAAGGGCAGCATCTAGGTAATGCGTGCATAAGGCCCAACATGGTCACAAAGTCGCTGTTTGTATTCAATCATAACAGTCCAGACTCTTTCTGTGCCTTGAATTTGACTGACAATTTCGGCATCGGCCCTTACGGGTAGTTGTTGTCTTTCCACTTAGACGGTGAGCAACTCTATGTATTCACTTCTGGGCTAAATCAGACATTACTCCAAGCAAATCTGCTTCGGGGAATGTATAATTCCACAGTTTCATTGCACGTATGAAAGGAGTTGAAATGTATCCTTGTCTTACCTAGATTTCAGTTTGCGTCTCGTTCTTTGATTCGCCTGCATGATGAAATGTTTGGGTAATTAGTCACTGTTCATAAAAGCACAATGATTTCCTGTATGGCATATTTATTCACCTCTTACCTTGACACCGACACATCAATACTACAGATATGATTATGGCTATGATGATGAACGGCACGATCCCAGCAGCAAAGTACATGTACGTCCATGAATTCACTGTGGGTTCAGAATTCACTGTGGGTTCAGAATTTGTGCTACCTGCAAGAAAGAGAGGACATGTCACTCAATGTGAAAGAGTTTATAATTTTTACACCTAAGCAATACAGACGATAAGCAGTATTCAGGTTCAAATTAAGATGTGAGGAGCATGTTTCTTACTTACTCTCATTTTTCTGTGGAACAGTGGTACGCCCACGTCCATCATCAACTATAACACAATACAGAGCGCACCCTAAGTCTTACTGGTGTGAATACAAACTTTATCGATAACATTTGTTCATTTATTATACAAATACAGATAAATACTAGTATTTTAAACGTGTGATTAATTCATCAATGTGTGCAGTGTGAAAACCAATTTCTTGAGTCACTTTTGTGTAGATGTGTTAAAGGACAAAATAAAAAAAAACACTCACCATTGACGAAGACATTGATGTTATGACTGTTACTGCCTCCACTTTGACACTGATACCCACCAGAGTCAGTTAGACGTATTTTGTGAAAGATCAGAAATGATCTCCCTTCTAATATGTCTATAAATTCCCACTCCGTTTGAATGTGACTGCTGCTGCTGACGGTGAAAGGGACATCTGTTTTCTCACGTTTAAACCAGTTGACCGTTGGTTGGGCTTTTTCACAGAAGACAACTTCACATTTAATCTCAAGATATTCTCCAGCGACAGCTTTATAAGATGTATTTCGGAGTACTCTAGTTTCAATGAGACATTCGTCTGCAAAATAACAAAAAACACACAAAGAATCCATTTGCTGAATGTTTAGTTTTATATGAATATATGAAATAATTATAAATATATACATTTCTGTTTTTGGACTTTTGGGGGATATTTAATACACATATATGTATATGTATAAATATTAAAGTTGTAGCTGTATACATTTAATCACAATTACAATACAAATAATTAATGTAAAAAATCCAGGTGTAAAATGCTTCGGCTTCGGCTTCCACCTTTACGTTCAGTATACATTTGCTTACTATTAACCTACTTTTTCAGTTTAAATTGAAGAGGTTGTACCTTTATACACAGTACACAAACATTGAAATAAGTCAATATGCTAAAAAAGACTTACCGTCAGCGTTTAAGGTGAGAAGCAGCCCTGCCCAGATGCACACATGCAGGATGATCCAGCAGATGTTCGCTCTCATGATGGGAACACTTTCAGCTGCTGAAGTACAGCTTTACAATCCTTTACTTTAACTTCATACCTCTGTCTTCATAACCGAGCCTTGTGTCGATCTGTGCACATTGACTGAGTCTTCATCACTTATTTGCAGTGTCTGTGGTTCACACTCTTCAAGCTGACGTCCTCCCCCCCCTCTCCTTTCCTTCCATCTTCCTGTCCTGCAAACCTCTGCAGCCTTGTGCACAACTTTAACTGCAAAATCTACATATATTAATAGTTAGAATGCTTCAAGTGTACTTTGTGAATATTGGGATCAATATTTCACTTTGCTAATGAGCTCGATACTCATGTTGTTTTAAGCTTAACACGTTACTGGCTTAAGCTAATATTAAATGTGAAGAACCTTTCATTTTCTTTCACTTTTACAAATGTTTATGCCGTGTGGTTTTACTTCTGTTTCCTTTTGTCATTCGACAGTCTTTCCACTTCAAAAAGCACAGCCACACACACACACACACACACACACACACACACACACACACACACACACACAAACACCCACACACAGCCACACACACACACACACACACACACACACACACACACACACACACACACACACACACACACACACACACACACACACACACACACACACTCTGTTAGATCTAAACAAATGGGACATTTCACTGTTCATGTGTACAGCTTAAAGGCAACATCAACACTCTATATATATTCATTTATGACAGGAAACACATCATTATGAAGAAATGTAATTTAATTTGTCAATGTATACATTTTAAGTAAATGAAAAGCAAAGTAATAATTTCCAAATGATTTACCATAAAAATACAAAATATGATAATAAAGCCAAGCAATGGTTAACACAAATCAGTAAAACTGTGAATAAATCAGATATAAGTTACAAGTTACAAATACTTGAAGTGAATTGGTTTTTCAGATTTGGTGGTTTTAAAGCACATACTTCAAGAGATTCAAAGGTGTATTGACATAACATATACACAACTACAGTGTGATTATGTAAAGTATGAACACTTAGATCGCATTTTCCTCAACAGTGCAATTTACAAGACATAAAAAATTAAGTATATAATAAACAACAATAATGAAGGTCATTTGCATGTTTTGTAGGTTATTTTTGTCCACAAGGGTCTTTGAGATGGTGGCACAGATTAAATTCTTCTTGGCGAGGGCTGGAGGCTGCCGTGTGGTATGGGTTTCTCGGCTGGGATTGCAATGTACTGCAAACATTCAAAAAAAGCATTTATTTTGTTAAAATATGTCTCAATATAAAATTGGTTTAAAGCCTTTTTCTCAAATGAATTCCAGAAGATATCAGGAGAACCTGGCCTGGACAGTTTCTCGTACAGTATACTGGAAATACTTTGTTTAGTTGAGGTGAAGGGCAGCATCTAGGTAATGCGTGCATAAGGCCCAACATGGTCACAAAGTCGCTGTTTGTATTCAATCATAACAGTCCAGACTCTTTCTGTGCCTTGAACTTGACTGACAATTTCGGCATCGGCCCTTACGGGTAGTTGTTGTCTTTCCACTTAGACGGTGAGCAACTCTATGTATTCACTTCTGGGCTAAATCAGATATTACTCCAAGCAAATCTGCTTCGGGGAATGTATAATTCCACAGTTTCATTGCACGTATGAAAGGGGTTGAAATGTATCCTTGTCTTACCTGGACTTCAGTTTGCGTCTCGTTCTTTGATTCGCCTGCATGATGACATTTTTGGATAGTTAGCCACTGTTTATAAAAGCACAATGATTTCCTGTATGGCATATTTATTCACCTCTTACCTTGACACCGACACATCAATACTACAGATATGATTATGGGTATGATGATGAACGGCACGATCCCAGCAGCAAAGTACATGTACGTCCATGAATTCACTGTGGGTTCAGAATTTGTGCTACCTGCAAGAAAGAGAGGGCATTTTACTCAATGTGAAAGAGTTTATGAATTTAAACCTAAGCAATACAGACGATAAGCAGTATTCAGGTTCAAATTAAGATGTGAGGAGCATGTTTCTGACTTACTCTCATTTTTCTGTGGAACAGTGGTACGCCCACGTCCATCATCAACTATAACACAATACAGAGTGCACCCTAAGTCTTACTGGTGTGAATACAAACTTTATAGATAACATTTGTTCATTTATTATTCAATAATTTAGTAATAAGAGCAACACAATGTAAAGATATAAGTCAGTTCTGTGTCAATGCTTTAACAGTTTGAAAATTCCCACTCACCATTGACGAAGACGTTGATGTAATGACTGCTACTGTCTCCACTTTTACACTGATACTCACCAGAGTCATTTAGACGTATATTGGGAAAGACCAGAATTGATAACCCTTCTGATTTGTTTATAGGTTTCCACTGCGTTTGAATGTGACTGCTGCTGCTGATGTTGGTTTGGTTGGAATCTGGTTTAATCCAGTCGACCGTTGGTTGGGCTTCTTCACAGAAGACAACTTTACATTCAATCTCAAGTTGTTCTCCAACAACAGCTTTATAAGATGTATTCACGTGTACTTGAACTTCAATGTAACATTCGTCTGCAAAATAACAAAAAACACAAAGAATCCATTTGCTGAATGTTTAGTTTTATATGAATGCATGAAATAATTATAAAAATATACACTTGTGTTATTGGACTTTTGGGGGATATTTAATACACATATATGTATATGTATAAATATTAAAGTTGTAGCTGTATACATTTAATACAAATTACAATACAAAATAATTAATGTAAAAGATCCAGGTGTAAAATGCTGAGGCATCGGCTTCCACCTTTTCGTTCAGTATACATTTACTTACTTGAACCTACTTTTTCAGTTTAAATTGAAGAGGTTGTACCTTTATACACGGTACACACACATTGAAATAACTCAATTTGCTTAAAAAGTCTTACCGTCAGCGTTTAAGGTGAGAAGCAGCCCTGCCCAGATGCACACATGCAGGATGATCCAGCAGATGTTCGCTCTCATGATGGGAACACTTTCAGCTGCTGAAGTACAGCTTTACAATCCTTTACTTTAAATTCATACCTCTGTCTTCATAACCGAGCCTTGTGTCGATCTGTTCATTGACCGAGTCTTCATCACTTATTTGCAGTGTCTGTGGTTCAGCCTCTTCATGCTGACGTCCTCCCCCCCCTCTCCTTTCCTTCCATCTTCCTGTCCTGCAAACTTCTGTAGCCTTGTGCACAGCGGTGAGGTAATGCAAAGAGCATATATTAATATTTCGGTGTACGGAAATAGCTTTATAATGATGACTTTAATGCACCTGTCCTCCCTGTTGCATTGCATATGTATTTTTTTAAACTGCAAAATCTACAGGAACACGTTACTGGCTTAAGCTAATATTAAATGTAAAAAACCTTGTGGTTTTAATTCTGTTTCCTTTTTGTCACTCGACAGTCTTTCCACTTCAAAAAGCACAGCCACACACACACGCACGCACACACACACACACACACACACACACACACACACACACACACACACACACACACACACACACAAATGTCCCTTCTGTGTTATTACAGCTGGATTTACACAATACCAAAAGAATAAAAAATAAAGGCAACATCTATATTCAATATATATTTTATTTTTGACAGTAAACACCATTATGAAGAAAGATATTATATATTGTCAACAGTAAAAAATAAATACATTTCAAGGCCATGAAAACACAATTACAAGTTACAGATTTGATTGTTTTAAATGCACACACATTGGGACTACTGGTCGTTATCATAGAAGTGAGTGGCATGCAAGGCATCATAGTTCTGAGGGCTCGGATGTGTTGTGTCCTCGGATGCTCCTGCACAAATAATTAGCATTATGGATAAAAACACCACGGCCCCAAAAATGCGGATTGTGGAATACCAAGATCTCAATTCTTGCTTCTCTGCAAGATAAAAAAGGATTTCAAATGTAAAATGAATAGTTGTTAAAGACAATGATTGTTTTGACCCATATAATGCATGTAAATGAGCCTTTTCAGAATAGGAGAGAGTGAATAAAGTTTTCGTACTCGGTTTTTCAGGCTCCATTACGTCCCCTGAAAAGCATTCACATTGTTTACTTTCCACAACAAAGGTGACTTTATATCTTCAATATGATTATTATAGGCAATAGTAAAGGCCTGCAACAACACATTATGTATCAGCAAGGCATTTTGTAATAATCTAACACAAAATAAATACATTTTTACTTCATTATGTACCAAATAGACCTGCATTTTGTATAATAATCTATTGCATCTTGTAATAAACCCCCAGAATGCAATATAAAATACATTCCCCTGCGTTGTGTTGTTTGCAGGGTAGGTGATGCATGCAATATGTGGATGTCTTTATCTGTTAATGTGTTTTAAAAGGCTATGAACACAATGACCCTTTATGTAGTCATTAGATCTGAATGAGCAATAACTAAATAATTAGATCACAGATAAGCTATTGGTTTGTTTCTCACGCTGCAGCTGCAGACCTCTAACTGTAAAATCAGGTCAGCGACTCAGACGTGATGTTTTTGTGGTCATTGCACCTTTTCTTTTAACCTTGAGATTTGTGCTACTTCCTTCCACGTTAGATATGTTTAAGTTAACATTACCGACTGTCAGAGATTGTAGCCATGGCTCGGATTGAGACTGCAAATCCCCAAAAAGCGGGGCATTTTCTTTTTGGAAAGTGCCATTCAATGCGGCCGAAATTCAAAGCGAATGAGCTCCAATGTCTTTGATAGTGATATTACAAATAATACATAATTACATTGCTGTTCTGCCCTTTTCCAGGAGGAGGAATATAATGCCGAAACACATTTTATGTCATTTCTAGTCCCTGATATCTTTGTATTAGAAGAATGGCTAATATGTTCCATCAACCTCTACCTCCACTTACACAATCTATAACTTAAATTACTGCAATACAGATCCAATTTCTATATTGTATTACAGTTTGACAGCCATTCATTGGTCTCCACTCAAATGGACGCTCATGTATTTTACCCTTCCTTCTCGAATTATAACCTCATTCACATTCTATGCAGTTTCTTTTTCTGTAGGTTTTTAACGCTGCCCTTTTGAGTATTTAGCTGTAGATTGAATAACAAAAACGTACCATTCAGAGTGAAGAGGGGCTCTACTAGTAAGGATGCAATAAGGACGGTCAGGCAGTAGTGAGGTCTCATGGTGGTCTCGAGTACTATCACAGCAGCAACTGTTGTAAATGATTACCTTGTTTAATTTACTTCCTGCTTTCAATCACCTAGATCGTCCCACCTACCCAACATACACACCACAGTACACCAGAGGAAATGTAATGAGCACACACACTCAGAAGCGTGTCAGCAGTGATCACATATGTTCTTAATTCAAATCAGACAGTTATAAATACACATTTGATTGCACAAAATAGGATAATAATTACATTCTCAAGTTCCTAAAGAAAGATTGTACAACACAACATTACAGGAGGTCAATCGTCATTCATATAGTCATGAAATGAGTCATATGGTCATACTTGCCAACCTTGAGACCTCAGAAATCGGGAGCATTTCCAAAACCACCGCGGGGGGGGGGTGCTAGTGGATCGCCGGAGCTGTATTAGATTAACATTAACATGCTTATTGTAGTTGTAAGTGCACTGCCTTGCGGCCTGTAGCACCATATGTGTGGGCTGGACCTGTATTTTACAGGAAAGGAGTGAGCAGAGGGTAGAATTGTCGATTCTTGATCTGTTTGCTGTGACTATCTTCCTCACCCTCTCAGACTTTCAGTTGCGCGCGCTACGCTACCATGGAAACCAAACAATGGTGTAGCTGTATTAAAGTCCGAGTGGAAACAGTCCTGAGTAAATCTGATTTTGTCAGAAATCGGGAGAAATGCGGGAGAAATATGACCCCGGGAGGAAACCGGGAGAGGGCAATGAAATCGGGAGTCTCCCGCGAAAATCGGGAGGGTTGGCAAGTATGCATATGGTACAGTTTGTAAACTCATGAAACTGTTATCAGATGTGATGTAACTCAACGGCAGTGTACATTCAAGTGTTGGATGTGCAACGTCACAAAACATTCAAAGACCCCGAGCAAATCCATGTCAGAAGAAGACTAAGGATTCTGTGAACATACTTTTAGTTTATTCTTTAACACGGATAGCTGCGTACTCTGATTGCTCCTCTGTGGGCCTCGGAGGCCGAGCAGCCCTGGCAGGAAGTTGATGGTTCAGAGCAGCGTACACAATCGAACTCCCCTCTTCCTCCGCCGTATTTCTTTGTCTCTCCCTGTCCCTGGTTATCACCCTGTAAACCGGGTTATTGTCTCTTGGTAAAGGAAGCTCATTGGGTTGTAAGGGCGGTGTTTTTGTCCGTAGGGATCTCCGGCATGGCGGCGCGGAGGGGCTTCCTCTTGGCGAGGGCTGGAGGCGGCCGTGTTGGAGGGGTTGCTCCACCATGGGGATTGCCATGTACTGCAAATAAGCATTTTCCAATGTTTGACAATGCTTTTGATTAGCCTTGATCTTGTCCCTCGAGTTCGACATCCACATTGGCATCTTACATTTGAAATGTGTCTTACCTGATTTTCTCTTGACGTTTCTTTCTTTGACTTCCCTGCAAGAGACATTTTGGAAGGATTAGTCATTGTTTTTTAAATCACAACATGTCCTGGATGGGATTTTGATTCACCTCCTACCTTTACACCCACGCATCGATACTACAGATATGATTATGACTATGATGATGAACGGCACGATCCCAGCTGCAAAGTACATGTACGTCCATGAATCCACTTTGGATTCAGTATTCGTGCTACCTGCAAGAAAGAGAGGAAATGTCACTCAATGTGAAAGAGTTTATGAATTTAAACCTAAGCAATACAGACAAGAAAGTAGTATTCAGGTTCAAATTAAGATGTGAAGAGCATGTTTCTGACTTACTCTCATTCTTTTGTGGAACAGTGGTACGCCCACGTCCATCATCAACTATAACACAATACAGAGTGCACCCTAAGTCTTACTGATATGAAGACAGACTTTATAGATAACATTTGTTCATTTATTATTCAATCATTTAGAAATAAGAGCTACACAATGTAAAGATGTAAGTCAGTTCTGTGTCAATGTTTTAAAAGTTTGAAAATTCCCACTCACCATTGACGAAGACGTTGATTAAATGACTGCTACTGTCTCCACTTTTACACTGATACACACCAGAGTCATTTAGACGTATATTGGGAAAGACCAGAATTGATATCCCTTCTGATTTGTTTATAAGTTTCCACTTCGTTTGAATGCGACTGCTGCTGCTGATGTTGGTTTGGTTGGAATCTGGTTTAATCCAGTCGACCGTTGGTGGGGCTTCTTCACAGAAGGCAACTTTACATTCAATCTCAAGTTGTTCTCCAACGACAGCTTTATAAGATGTATTCTCGTGTACTCTAGTTTCAATGAAGCATTCGTCTGCAAAATAACAAAAAACACACGCGTTATAGTTAAAAAAGTTCTTATTGTTAATTTATACTCTTTTGTGTGTTTCAGATGTAGATGTTGAAAACATTAGAAATCAAACAAAACTCAATGTGTCTATTTTTATATTAAAGACTGAATTGAAGCGGTTTATGACCTTAGATTTGTTTGGGCAATTCGTGGCTTTCAAGACTTTTGAAGAACACTTGACTTTTTGGGCAGTGTTGTTTTAAGCAGTTTCTTCTTCTTTTTTTACTTTTGTCTGTTGATTTTGAATCCCCAATATGACAGCAATGGCATGGCGGTTGTGGTTGACATATTACAGTAGTGCAATACGAACATCCAATATATAACAACTACAAAAACAACTACACAAACAGTCCGCTTGGTCTAGTCTGGAGAGCAAATTATTAAACTCACAGAAACAGACTGAAAATGTTGAATCCCACTTAAATGAAACCGTCTCTGGGAAATGTATACCCTTGTGTATGAATTTCACCTAGATGACCCTTAAATGACTGAATCAGTGAAGTGTGTAACATTTCTGAAAACTTGACGCCTGATACAACATTATTCGTAATCGTTGTGGTAGAAAACTCAGATTTTTTTATATAAAAAGTGACGTTTCAATGTTTTTTATGTTGTATTTTGTTAAGTTAATCCTCCTTCTGTCACACGTATGCTATACTTTATGTGCGTTGCGATAATAAAAGTCAATTTTCAGTTGTTGGTTGCTCACTGCCACCATCATAAGTCACTATTGAATAATACTCTGGCCTCAAACCACAAGGAAACAGTACCAAACCACAGCATCAACTAAAATAAATAAATGACACTGTGGTCGTATCAATAAATAAGATTTCACACTGCCATTTGACACCACTCTTATACAGTATGGCAAATGGGACACTTTCGAAACTAGAAACGAGATGTGGGTAGACTGATAAAGCTAGAACCTATGCTTTTTTGCCATGTTTTTAAATACATGTTATGTTTGTATGAAATCTCTAATTGTTTCCATTAAGCTCCCACAGGCATGAAAACACCCCATGATATGGAAATGACCTGAAAGAAGCATTTTAAGCAGAGAAGTTACAATTATCTTTCACATTCAAGACTTAGTTTCAAAGACAAGTAACAAAAGTATTATGTGACATGTTAAAAGAAGGTAGGAGATGGGCTAACTTGTTTCTGTAGTTGCATTTGAAGAGTTCCTGACCTTTTCTGGCCTCCACAGTATTAAAATAGTGGTCCCAATGCTGACTTTCACTGCAAAAGCCAGATTTAACACATAACAGACGTACGGAGGAAGGAGAAGTTGCACAGACACTTAGACGGCACAATATGCAGAAAAAAAAGACTTACCGTCAGCGTTTAAGGTGAGAAGCAGCTCTGCCCAGATGCACACATGAAGGATGGTGCAGCAGAGGTTCGGCCTCATGATGGGAAAACGTCCCGTCATCTTCCAGTCACAGTTAATCTAAGCTGGAGACGTTCCTCGGAGCACCTCATTATTAGTTTAAAACAGAGAAGTGCTGAAGCTTCGGCTGGAGCTACATGCTGCTTCCTCTTTCTACTCTCTGCTGCTCACTACCTTCTGACTCTTTCCCAGGGCGGTGGGTGCACTGGAGGGGAGCGAACGTCTGTGGGTGGTCTCACTTCTCTAAATGTTTCACTGCAGAAAAACATCTCAGGTTAGGGGGTTCCCACACTTTCAGGTGCTGATGTACAGCTTTAGCTTTACAGGTTGTAATACCTCTCTTTTCATATCCAAGCCTTTTTCGATCTGTGCACATTGACAGTCTTCATCACTTCTTTGCAGTGTCTGTGGTTCAGCCTCTTCAAGCTGACTTCCTCCCCCCTCTCCTTTCCTTTCATCTTCCTCTCCTGCAAACTTCTGCGGCCTTGTGCACAGCGGTGAGGTTACATAAGGATGCACGGTGCAGTGTTGGGTAGGTGGGGACGCTGTGGCCTTGTTTTTTAATGTCCAATCTGTTGATGTGTGTGTGTTTGTGGTTACTATCAGGCTAACACATCGGCCTGGATGGCTTACCTGTTAGTCCGCCTCATTCATGTTTTAAAAGCCCACTTTGATAGATAATACCTTTCTATTCAACAAAATGTTTATTTTATTCATATTTTTTTTAAAGAAGAATTATTAATGCATACTTACAGATGTCCAGTATTAAAATTGTACCACTTATACATGATTTAAACATATATCTTCATGTCCAAACAATATTATTAAAAAGCTTCACATAACACTGCGTCATTATTATTACATGTCACTTGTTAGACGCTTTTATCCAAAGCGACTTACATACTCAGTACTGTGGACAATCCCCACAGGAGCAATTTGGGGTGAAGTGTCTTGCCCAGGGACAAAATGACATCCTGACTGCAGTGGGGCTTGAACCTGTGACCCCCTGATCCGAACACCAATGCACAACCCACTACACCACACGCCTCCCTCATATTTTATAAACTGAAGAAAAAAAAGAAAATACTCAAATACAGTAAAAGTACATCAGATTTGTATAATACTTATACAACAATAGCTAAGCGATACTTAGGAGCTCACCTGCTGTTGTTTTAACCTGCACCCATCTGTACAGTATGCCTGTACCTCATGGGAAAAGATACAATTATTAAGTAAAGTAAGTAAAACAGAATAATTGTAATAATATAATAATGAAGTGAATTGATTGGAGTAAAGGAACAAACATATTTATTTCAGATGAAAAGAAAATCATCGTCATATTTTTTCTAGTACAACAGCGGCGACATGTGGCGTTCAGGGTCAGCACGGATTCTCGAGTAGCTGCGTCTACGCCTTCCTTTTACGTAATGACGTAGATTACGTCACTACGTCTTGGACGAGCCGAAAATGGCGGAGTATCTAGCATCCATTTTCGGCACAGAGAAAGACAAGTAAGTTTTATTCAATATTTACAGTAGGAATTCCCTAAAGTATGATTATTACATGAGTATTTTTGCAGTGGCTCTTCTTCGTCGTCAGCAGGGCTCAGTTTGTGAACTCAGGGCTGCTGAATGTCTCAGTGAAGCTAACTTTAGCAACAGGAAGCTAACGCTGAATGAAACTCAGGAAGAACCTCAGATAACCTGCAGCTGTTCGATGACGTTTTGTGTAAAATGTGTCATTTTGCAAAGTGTTGTTAGTGAGTTTGTTAGTGAGTTTGTTGGTATACGATTTAACATTATGGAAGCATTTTTTTTGCTTTATTTATTAGCCAGGTAACGTGTCGCTTAGTTAATTATTGAACTTGCTAGCAGAGTAGCTGCTCTCTTTGCTCAGGCGGATTGTTCTGTTTCGTTTCACCGGTGGAGTGCAGCAAAAACAATTAAGTTAACCTATTGCAATTTACAGAAGTTAATATGATGATGTGTTTACGATGCATTTAAAGCAATAATGTGACAATTGTTGTGAGTATTGGTGCCGTTCGTTCAAGGGGTAGTGTCTGACATTTCAAAACAAAACTTAAGAAAGCATTATTTAACTCATTCACATTAGTGGAGGTGCAAAGAAATATATCAGATAAGATAAGAAGTCCTTTATTTATGCCAATTTGGGAAGTGTTTGCTTTGCAGCAGCATACAAGTACCTGGCATTGTCCAATACAAATTAAAAGACTAGAAATAAACATTCAAAAATGTAAACATCTCAATAGAAATAAAATAGCATTAGCAAAAAGTATCCCTTATGTGATGTTTAAGATAATGAAATATTCATGTCATTTAGCCTTACTCACAATTAATATTTTATTGAAATTGAATAGGTCTTTTACTTTACTTTCATTAATAGAATATTTAAAGGATAAGTCTGGTGATTGTTCACATTGTAAACAAATGAAAAGACCAAAACCAACAGAGAATCTGATGTGGAAACCAGTGTTGCATGTTTATCTAAAACCTGATGGAGTTTATTATCTCTGTTGAACTCCATGCTGGTCAAAAAGTTGTTACTAACACATCACACCGTTGCCCTCGTACCATAAATACTCAGTAGCTCACTACATCCGCGGGGGAAAATAGTCCCCTACACATACACTATTTACTGGAAAATGGTTCCAAGTAAGTCGAGTTTGTTCTAAAATTATAATTGGCAACAAGTACTAAATTATGCCACTTTTTCTTCTTTTCCAGGGTCAACTGCTCCTTCTATTTTAAAATTGGCGCTTGCAGACATGGAGACCGCTGCTCGAGATTGCACAACAAACCAACCTTCAGCCAGGTGAGGATGCCCGTAAAGTTATTCTCCAATATAGGGGCTTTATATGTCAATATTGCTGTCTGACCAAATACTTTTCCTGCAGACCATCTTGATCCAGAACATCTACCGTAATCCTCAGAACAGCGCACAGACGGCAGACTCTTCTCGCTGTAAGTAAAACATTTGTCAGCAGCCTCCCTTTGTGTCGCATATAACTCCACATGTGAGGCACTGCTTCAGCTCCCATTGTTGCCCAAGTATCCAAAAAACAAATATTTCGCCATTTCTCTGTGAATAATACCAATAAAAGCCCCCGCTTCTGATACATCCACTATCTGCTTTTCAACCTTGTGCAGCTAAGCCTTCCTGCCAAAACACAAGCACTATTGCAGAGTGTGCTTTTAATGAGAGAATACTAACAAGTGTGTGTGTGTTGTAACTATGTTGAGCCCAGACTCTTAGAGCTGAAGCAGTGCCTCTCTCACAGGTAAGTGTGTTAAGGGGGGAGTGCATTAGAATTGAGGTGTGTATTTTTCCTTGAAGCCCCGTATTGACTTGTGCTTCAAGTAAATGTAAGGAAAGGGCATAATAATAAAGCACAATAGGGCCTTTAAAAGCATTGCAATCACTGGGCCAAGAGACACTTTGGCAACAGATATGTTGATCTGGTAAAATGTCCCTTATCACCACCCTTATAATCAGATAAGAGACTAGATTGGAAACTACCTCTTTGTAAGGATAGATTTTCAAATATAACGCGAAACTGGGAACATTTAAAGATCAATAAGAGGTTTTTTTTACATTCAAACTTGGAACACAATGCGGTCGTATACTATTCCCAAGTTTTTGGATAGCGCTTTAGGTCATTCACTTCCATGAATTTTGCTAATGACATAGACAAACAACTCAAATCTGAACACTTCTTCACCAGCCAGGAAACATGGTTCATTATTGCGAATGAGCAGCCAACATTGTTTGGCAAGGTTTCATCGGAGCAGTAAAGTGAGGGTAATAAAGTTTACTGTTCCTTAGAATGCATTCATTGAGAAACACGATATGAGACAGACAAAAATGGGTTTATTACATCAACTTTTCAGCTTGTAAACAAACATGTCATGTGTTTTTCTTGTTTTCCAACTCCAAAGTGAAATTAAAACTCTTTTTGAAATCACAGCTTGTTCATGCTTAACTAATCCAACACTTTTCTGTGATAGTCTGTACACTAAAAGCCTAACATTTAAGCCCATTTTCAGCCAATATCCTATAATAATAATAATAATACAAAAATAAATTAAGGAAAACAAGCCCTTAAAGTAGTGGACAAGGAGAGAATATTTCGTAAGGGGTGCAGACAATTATCTTCGGCTCCAAAAAGAATAACAGAGTGGCCATTTCTGCGATTTTGAATGAAGCTTTATCCATCAAGTAGTTAGTAAAGCGTAAATTACGACATCTTAAGACCGTAATTTACTGACAGAAACATTGCTAATCACGTTTTTTTCCTCCTCAGCTCTTTATTTTGGTTGATTTCTGTCACAGAAGTTTACGTTTTGTATTTCAGACCATTTCCCCCTTGAACATTTACCTTCATAACCTTCAAAACTCTGCCCAGTCTGCTGATGGTTTACACTGTAAGTTCTCCCTTCATCCCGCAGGAACCTCCAGCACTGACTGCACTTAACTTACTGTGTCACACCTCCCCACATAAATCTGGCTCAGCGTAGAAACTGTTCCTCCAGTGAACGCATCACATCTTTTCCTGGAGATAGAGTAACAGGACACATGCTGTACTGCATGTTTACCGGAGTCTATGTCGTACAGCAATGTGCAAAACGATCATTCAAAATCAACTCATTTCAAAGTAAACGCTACTGTGGAGAAGACTAAGAGGGATCAGCTCTAGTTTCCTTGATTCTGTGAAATAGAGTAGCTTCTGGCAACAACTAACACACACACTTTTCTGGATCTATGTGTACAGGGTGTAATTATTATAGCAAGACTTATCAGGCGTCAGTTAGACGTGTTTGTTTAAAGCCACACGGCCCATGTGAACACTGTCTGTCCCTCTGGTGTTGCCCTGACCGTCCCTTGTTGACATGTTGCAGGTGCTGTCAGCGATGTGGAAATGCAGGAGCACTATGACGAGTTCTTCGAGGTGAGTGACCCTTTGTGCCGTCTTTCCACACATAGCGTGCCACCGCCGCGTTATCTGCCTTTTTGCAACACATTGTAGAAAAAAGGAGCAAAATGACCATATGAGTCGTTGATATTCACAAATGTTTTATTTGCCTAATTGTGACCTTGTTTATCAATCCTGGATATGTGGATAAGGTCATTCGAGGTAATCTGTGGATATAAATCCAAATGGCAGAGAGTTATGGACTCGCATTGCTTTTTAAAGGAACAAAGGCTAAACTGTATCATAATACATAACGGTATCACATAAGTATTGATAAAACCTCATTAATATCCCGTTTCATATGTTAATTGTTATTTCTTTCCTCTCATTTCCGATACAGGAGGTGTTCGCAGAGATGGAGGAGAAGTACGGAGAGGTGGAGGAGATGAACGTGTGCGACAACTTGGGCGACCACCTCGTTGGAAATGTCTACGTTAAGGTTGGTAACGGATCTTAATGTATTCACGAGAGAGGGAGCGAATGCAAAAACACTGAATTAAAAATCCCATAAGGATGTGGCTGAATTTAGTGAGACCTTGCAGAACAGAATATGTTGCACAACTTTATTTCAAATGATTTATATAACCCCTGATGGCAGACTGAAGCTCTCCCACCTTTATGGATTTCTTACTTTCATTCAGCAGGAAACATGTGCCCATATCACTTCTAAAGTCTGTAGAAAAGTAAAATCTCCAACGTGAAACCTTCTTGAGGCAGAAAACCTTTTCCTATAGTTCATTTTCATAAAATATGCGTACCAGATGATAAAAGAAGTGCAATGGCAGGAAGGAGGAGAAAAACTGAACGCCATGTTAGATTAAACTAGCTTTTTATGTAAATACAGTGTCATTGTGTTCATTTGTTTCACATTCGCTGCAGCAACTTGTCATGTTTCCTCAGATATCCTAAGTATTTGTACTCCCTGTGTGTAGTTTCGCAAAGAGGAGGACGCAGAGAAAGCCGTCATGGACCTGAACAATCGTTGGTTCAACGCCCAGGCCGTCCACTCAGAGCTCTCCCCCGTTACCGACTTCAGGGAAGCCTGCTGCCGCCAGTATGAGATGGGGTGAGACACTGAAGAATGCCTGCAGATTCAGAAAAAAACGCACACGAACAAACACACAACAACAATATTATCTGCCCTACTCCTTTTAAATATATTCTCTGAGTGATTTATCATTTTAATTGCAAAGATAAATGTTGTTTGCAGTGCGAGGATGCGAGCGCTCCTCTCCTTGTTTATGAGTCAGTGTTTTTCCATTGGATCGAGGGTTGTTTGCTCCGCTAGCGATAGCACGAATGTGTGTGTCTGGGGGGGGTGATAAAGATCAGATTTTCCTCTGGTGGGCACGCACGCTGCTCAGATTGTGTAACAAACTTTTCCTTCATGGCCCGGCTCCATTAAATACCAGTGGGGTGAGTTTTAACCCTTCCTGTGCTGGGTTTCCTGCAGGGAGTGTACCAGAGGAGGCTTCTGCAACTTCATGCACCTTAAACCCATATCGCGGGAACTTCGACGGGAGTTGTACGGCCGCCGCAGGAAAGGGTAAAGACATTTTTACATTCATACTTAGGGGTCAGAAAAGGATTTGTGGATTAATTTGTCTTTCCTGCCACCAGGCCTGACCCTGGCCCGCGCCCCAGGGAACGGCGCTCCCGATCCAAGGACCGGCGGCGGGACCGCGAGAGGCCGAGAAGGTCGAGGGACCGAGAGCGCTCCGGACGATTCTGAAAGAAGCCGAGACCGACCCCATGTCTTCCCAAATCCCCCCCCCCTCTCATCCGCAGCAGTGATGACAAAGTTATTTTCTTTATTGGTGAATTGTTGGAAGTGTTTTCTTTCTCTGTTTTCTTTTATTCCCTTTTTTTAAGACAAGTTCATGTCGCTTTCTCAATAAAACAGATTTGTAATTCTGCACTTGCACCACTTGCTTATATGAACATCGGCTTACCTTTTTCGAGAGAGTGTATAGGAAATGTTGCCAAGATATGAGTTAAAATAGGGTTTTAAAGTCATCTCAATGTGTTTCCAAATTCTAAACATTGCTTACTTTTATGCTAACTGTTTTTATTACATTGTGAATGACGCAATATTACCTAAAACTTGAGCAGCCTCTCGTTTGAGTCTTTTACCTACTACCAGTTTCCTTCCCTTTTCTTTTACTAAACATATGCATGCTTAGTAGTAGTATACAAGAAGAAGTTGGGCCATTAAAAATGCATTTAATGAAAGTATTGTGGTAATAAAACACCTGTTCTTTTTTGTTTGCACTTACTGTAAGTTACTTTGGATAAAAGTGTCAGCTTAATGTAATGTAATGACTTCAACCCTAATATAAATTGGAAATCTTCTCAATAGTTATATTTATAAATACAGATAGTTTATTGCTTTGGGGTGACAGCCATTACATGAGAAGAGCTCAAGATGTCACATGCGTCCAGAGTGCATGCAGTGTGTGTTTGGTCAATAAAAGGTAAACAGATGGTGCTGGTAACTTTAACACAGCGTTTTCCCAAACCCGTATTGGAAGTCTCTGCTCTTATTGGCTGAGCAGTCTTAACAGACGCCCTCGCTGCAGCCAATCAGAGAGCGCAGTTCAACTTTGCCTAGGTCCTCCCCGTTTGGTCCACGTGGTTCGTCACCAATACGGCTGTCTCAATCGGAAGTTGCTCACTCCGCGTTGTTGTCCTTGGTGCTCGTCTACGCCGGGGTCCCTTTGTGAATTTTTGTTTCTTTTAAAGCTTTTAGGGCACATTTGAAGTACAAGGTGAGTGGGAATTAACGCGTAATACAAATATCAGAGAAGAGAAGTGTAAAAAATGAGGTATTAAACACATGGCTGTCTGACTTTATGGTCGTTGACTGAGAAAACCGGTTCTGATGTAACAGTAGCATGGTATTGCACTGTTTTACAGCTAGTCTGATGTATAATTACGTTTCCCTGCACTATACTATACTCGATATATATATTGTTAAATATTATATTTTACGGTTACGTCTACGTTTTTCATTTTCTGCTATCCATCCAGGCAGTGCTGCATCTTGTAGCTTGTTTAATGTCCTCAATCATTTATATTATATTTATTAGCTGCAGTTTAATATGTACTATATTCACATTTCCATCAGATGCAACGGCTAATAGTGTTAAATGCAGCTACAACTAGCAATTCATGTGTACCTTATTTGATCGATTAAGCAGATACTAATTCTAATTCCTTGTTTTGCCTTAATATATTTATTTTATATAGTAAAAAAGAGCAGGAAATACCCACATTTGAGCAGGTAAACTCCTAAGTTACGACCAGCGATTGATTTGCACCTGATTTGATCGATTAACCGATTATTTTCTTTGTTTACAACAATAACGAATTCAAATTCCTTTATTTGTCCTTAACAGTTCAAAAACCAAATATATATATGTATCTTTTAATCGGAAAAAGAGCCTAATTATTAACATTTTAGCAGGTGGAACTAGTCAAATCCGGGCATTTTGATTTAAAATACACAATTTCGTTAAGATTAATTGGTGTGACTGTATTGCTTTCAACTCAATTAGTTGCAATGGCCATTAAACTCGTTTCCTGACTCATTGAATCACAGTGACATTATACTGACCATGTGAGTTCAGGTTTACATGCCTGCTGTTTTACATTGTTTCTTTACCCCATGCATTCCTGCTGGTCCACAATTTTTTATGGCTGAATGAATATCTATAGTGTGCTCTTCTATTGACCAGCTGATACAACGTGGCTGGCAGAGCAGTTATGTGACTTTTTAAATAGACCTACATCATAAAGGGGCTGCCGTACAGCTTTGAGAGCACAGCACATACCGAGGGAGATTAGAAATGCCTCAATTAAAGCAGATAACCAAGTCTGATACAATGTTTTTTTTCATTATGATGGGTTTAAAGCTGCCAGGTTAAGATCAGGTGATTTTTGCACTGGTTTTCCTTCAGCCTGGTAGGTATTTGATTATTGGCTTAAGTGTGGCTTATTAACAAAAAATGTTGCTGCTCTGTAAATCCTCTTTGTAAGTCTTTATTCCGTTGTGCAGCCTGGGCTCAGTGCTGCATGTGCTCTCTCACGGAGGATCACGTTGCCCCAGTTGAACCCTGCAAAACCACCAGAGACCACCTACTCTTTCCAACATTAACCACTCATACTGTGGACGGTAGAACCACAGCAGGAGTAACACCTTAGATTGCTGTCCTTTTGTGGATAGATAGCAATCAGCAATGCTGGAAAGTCAACAAATACAATTTCAATTTAGTATTAGTATCATTAATCAGGTGGGTTACTGCTTCCCCTGTGCACTATTCGTTTTTTCCATAGTTTACCTAACATGGGGTTTACTAGAGCGTCACTAACTCTAAAGCAATATATATCGGGGCTGTTTTCTCTGGCATGCAGAGCTGTTTGCTTTAGCCGACGTTGTTTCACTGTGTGGCGGACGTCATCTGAACTATTTAACAGCTGGCCTCGGTGTTTGCACTGTGTGTTAGTGAAGGTTCATCTGTTGCCTTTCCGATGTGGAGAAACCTGATGGATGTATTCATTAAGAAAACAGATATGTCAAACTGTATAGGGGCGTACAGAGGTGGAAGAAGAACTTGGTTTGTTTACTTCAGCAAAAGTAGAAATGATATGGTCTTAAAATACAACATTACCAAAAGAGGACATATTCTGCTCATTGACCAGGTTCATATGACTGATGTAATATTAACAAAAGTTTGTTCAGCCCGTAGCCGGAGGCCTTTACTGACAAAGCTATAATGAAAGCGAAACTGGTCAGACTAATTTGTTTGCTTATCATGATTTTTTTTAAGTTGTCTCGAAATTCTGCAGAGGCAAATGAGGACAAAAAGGGAAGAGGATGATAGTTAAGCATGATGGAGCTTTTATTTTTGGCAATGCTGGAATGACTCAGCGTTTAAGGGAAGGAAGAAAGAAAGGAGTGGTCCGGTGTTTGCTTTCCACTGCTTTCATGAGCCATGAGAAGTAGGCTTAATGGGAGCTTCTTATTCTAGTTTTTGCCGACAAACAAGCAAAATGGGATTTAGTTTAAAGAATCCGCTAAGTAACTAAAATATTCCTCAAGGCTTTGTGTACACGCCCCCCTTCAGCAAACACAACTTTGAATACAATTTAGCATAATAGGGCCCCTTTAATAAATTACATTTTCAGGACTTGTGAAGGAGTACTTTGAAGCCGTAGGAAAGGATCAGAGTACTTCCTCACTCGCTACAGTCACTCGCACTGCCCCTGAACATTTAAAAACATCACCGATTTATCTTCGCACTTCCTTATTTCCTCTCTTCTACCCAGACTAAGCCATGCCATCAGTTCCTTCAACCAAGGAGGCCCCCATGAAGGGCCCGGTGGTGTGCCCCCACGCCGCCAAGCTGCTCAGCCACACCAACGGAGAAGGGAAACTCCGGGAGGGCTCCATCCCGCTGAACGGCCTCGACACGGAGCACATCAACACGATGAATGCGGTGGTGGAGAGGAAGTGGATCCGGCCTGACCTCCCCAGCCGCTGCACGTGGAGCCTGGGGGCCTCGAGAGACGAGTCCCCTCATGCACTGGTTCCCAGGTCAGTGAGGTGTGGTGAAACAAATTCAAATTCAAATGTTCCTGTCACCACTTTACTGGACTTCCCCATCTGCAGTTAAAACACTCTTAACTGTGTTCTTATATCTTTATATGTTCTTATTCACCAGTGCATATATTGTGATTTACACATTTTTAATATATGTCTTCGTACTGATGGATTTTACTTTTATGATTTTGTTTATTCCATTTGAAACCAGTTTTACCAAACTCATGGGGCGTGCCCTTGGCAAATAACACACCTCACAAAGTGTTATTATCTCCTGCAGCAGTACAAAGCACTAATAAAACAAGTGGAGTTAGGTTTCAGCGGTGTCTCTGTGCATATTATTGTAAAAACACTGTTTCTTCCTCAGATCCGTCGCTCCTGCCATTCTCCCGAACATCCTGCACCGGATCGGCGACACCCCCCTGGTGCGCATCAACAAGATCCCCAAAGCCTTTGGACTCAAATGTGAATTATGTAAGTCACGCAGCTCTCAAGCCCCGACACGCTCTCACTTCAGACACAAGGTGTGACTGTTAGCCCTTTATGACACATTGTAAACAGGCGGGTGCTGCAGTGAGACAGGTTACTGTAGTTCAGGAGTATTTTTAAATATAACGGGTCAGGGCAGTTAAGGTCGGTTGTATCTCTTCAGGTTTTTCTGCCTCAACTGCGCCGCCTTCGCACAAAGTGCAACATTATATTTGTATTGAACAACTGTATTTGGTTTGTTTTATAATTCCTAGTGTGAGGGGACAGCAGATGGAAAATAACTTTAAGCAAGCATCTTGCATAAAGCATTTCTTCTTATTTTGAGATATTATAATAATGGCTATTTTTTATATACATTTGTATTGATTTCCTAACAGAATGCATTACATGATTTTTCTGTTGTGTATTTTCTGCAGTGGCCAAGTGTGAGTACTTCAATGCGGGGGGGAGTGTGAAGGACCGGATCAGCCTGCGGATGGTGGAGGACGCGGAGAGGGCGGGGCTCCTCAAACCTGGAGACACCATCATCGAGCCCACCTCTGGAAACACTGGTGATTAACTGCATGTGTCGCTATGGGGGGTTAAGTTCACAGGAGTCGGTGGTATGTTAATTGCAGTGTTGTAAAACTTTAGGTTTATGGGTGTTTTTTCTCTTTCTTTAAGGTATTGGGCTAGCCCTGGCTGCAGCCGTGAAAGGATACCGCTGCATCATCGTCATGCCGGAGAAAATGAGCATGGAGAAGGTGAGCCCTGTTTTGCTTAATTTTCACTTTACCTTCTGTTTTTTATAAATACTTGTATGTTTTTTGCACATTTTTACTTTTCTCCTCTTTGATAGGTCGATGTCTTGAGAGCTCTCGGAGCGGAGATCGTCCGCACGCCCACCAGCGCTCGCTTCGACTCGCCGGAGTCTCACGTGGGCGTCGCCTGGCGTCTTAAAAACGAGATCCCCGACTCTCACATCCTGGACCAGTACCGCAACCCGAGCAACCCTCTGGCTCACTACGACACCACGGCCGAGGAGATCCTGGAGCAGTGCGGCGGTACGAGGATATCTTACCCATATCTAATCAATATGCAAACCATAATATCAATTCAATAATGATTGCAAATTTCATTAATGCCTTTTATTTGTATTTCATAACTGATTTTGACCTAACCCCGCTCCTCACAGGTAAACTGGACATGCTGGTGGCAGGCGCCGGCACCGGGGGGACGATCACTGGCATCGCCCGCAAACTGAAAGAAAGATGCCCCAACATCAAGGTGAGTCTCATTACACTCACTATTTCTGTGTGGGAGTGAACACAGGGACTTGAACCTTTGCAGAGCATTTACTGTATACCTGTATAACAGCATAAAGCAGAATAGGCCCTCTTTAATAAATCTCTGCTTCGTGTTATCCAAAGAGCGAGGCATGTAGAAGATGCATTCATATAAACAATATCCCCACAGACATAAATGTTGCAGAAACAAGTCTCTTTTTGGGCTTGAAAGAAAACAATATTTTTATCCTTAATTACGTTGTGTGCAGATTGTTGGCGTTGATCCAGAAGGCTCCATCCTGGCCGAGCCCGAGCAGCTCAACAGAACCGATAAGACCCAGTACGAGGTGGAGGGCATCGGGTACGACTTCATCCCCACCGTGCTCGACAGATCAGTGAGTTCCCCTTTATTATCACCTCCTTTTTTCTTATGTGGACCTGACTTTCACCACCACATAACATGATCTCTGTGACTTCAGGTCATTGATACATGGTACAAGTCAGACGACGAGGAGTCCTTCAACATGTCCCGCATGCTGATGAGAGAGGAGGGCCTGCTGTGCGGTGAGCTCAGGTTTCCTGCTGACTTAGACTCCAGGCTTGTGGGTGAGGTGAAGAGGTCAACTCACATTTAGCTGTTTTCTGTATCAGGTGGCAGCTCTGGGACCGCCATGGCTGCGGCAGTGAATATGGCCAAAGATCTGAAGGAGGGCCAGCGCTGTGTGGTCATCCTGCCAGACTCCGTCCGCAACTACATGTAAGGAAACACACACATTTTGTACGTAGTTAAAGCAGCTACAGATAGTTTTTTTCCACATGAAAACTCCTCTAACAAATACTTGATCAGCTTTTATAATAAATTATATAAGAGAGCTTCTCAGAAAAACATTATAATAATAATGTTGATGTTAGATGATAATCCCACAATACATACCATTTGGGGTTTTTCTTTAGGTTAGCTATCGCATATAACAGTTAGTTTTTCCTCCTTCAAGGTCCAAGTTCCTGAGTGACAAGTGGATGGTGCAGAAGGGCTTCCTGAGTGAGGAGGACCTCATGGTGAAAAAACCCTGGTATGTGTAACACACATTTCTGATGCTTACACGTTTTGGATAGTCTCCACGTAGGAACACCACTATGATTTTTGATGTAAAAAGCTAAAGTTATATGTGCTCCTCAGGTGGTGGAACCTGAGGCTGCAGGGTTTGAATCTGTCCGCCCCGCTCACCGTGCTGCCCACCGTCACCTGTCAGAGGACCATCAAAATCCTGAAGGAGAAGGGCTTCGACCAGGCGCCCGTGGTGGACGAGGCTGGGTGAGTGTCCTGAAAGAGAAAGTAGATACCGGTCGCACTGACATACCGTATGCCTGCATCCCCTTTTGGTACATTGTGTTTAATCCAGCCCCTGTTTGTGCTCTGCAAATACTGACGTTTGAATGTGTGTGTGTGTGTGTGTGTGTGTGTGCAGGGTAATCCTGGGCATGGTGACACTAGGGAACATGTTGGCCTGTATCCTGGCGGGGAAGATCAAGGTGTCGGACCCCGTCAGCAAAGTGCTCTACAAGCAGTTCAAACAGGTGAGCTTTTTAATTTCTTTGTCTCATTTTATATTTTCCAAGCGACTGATCGTTGTGTTATACGCTAAATAATTTACATTTCTTCAACAAAAAATAAAAACAGAAAAAGATAGAAACAAAAATCTGTATAACTATCATTATAGTTTATATTTGGGTGAGCAAATATTTAAAAAAATGTAAACAATTTTATGACGTTGGGGACTTAAATCAGTGAAATAACCAGATTTGAATTTCATTTTGTCAAATGTATCACTGATCAAATACATTGTACGCCATTTTGCATAATTTGCTTAATTATATTAATATTGATCATGTTATTTATTATTTGTTTTATTTTAGATCCGTTTGAATGATAATTTGGGGAAGTTATCCCGCATTCTGGAGACTGACCACTTTGCCCTGGTGGTACATGAACAGATCCAATGTAAGTATAATACACATACACATACACACACACACACATACACATACACATACACACACACACACACACACACTTCTTTCATTCATACTGTATACTCTCATTAACCTAGCCTGCAGGTGCATTTTTCTTCATCCAAAAAGCTGATAAAATGTGTTTGTGTAGCCTTGGCTCCCTCTGGTGGCAGTATCCAAAAACACAAGTTGAAAAATCCCTCCATATGTTTGAGAAAAATAAAGATCTTTTCGAACATTAAAGATCTTTTCGAACATTAAAGCATGTAAGCAAGTCACAGTAGAGGCACACAATTCAAATATGAACCTTAGAATGAGTATAATAGGACCCCTTTAAAAGAGTAAGCGAATGGTTAATTGATAATTTTGTTATCTCTGTCCTACTCATCACGGCTCTCTCTTCCATCCTTTTCTCCCTCAGACTTGACGGACGGCTCTCCCAGCCTGAAGCAGATGGTTTTCGGAGTGGTGACCGCCGTCGACCTGCTAGCCTTCGTCACAGGGCGGGAAAGGAGGGAGAGATCCATGTCGGAGTCCACCGACGAGCTGAACTGAACCAAAACGCTCTAACTTTTTTAACACCAACAAAGAAGATGGCTCAAAAATAATCTTGTGAAATTATTTGATTGAGGTTAGTTCTCAAAAGAAAAACATTGATCATATTTTGTATTTCTGGAAATGAGTCTTAAGGAATAATAAACAAAACATGTTGCGCATGTATGTATAGGGTTACTTAAGATTATTATATTTGCTTTTAGTGCTCAAAGCGAATCTTTAGTATGTTTTTAAGCACGCTTTTTGTTTTGTATCAGGGTCTTAAAAAAAGGCATCTGCGTTCCACTTTTATTTTTATTTGTCAACATGTTTCACTGTAGTCTGCATCAATCAAACATCAGATACAAGACATAGACATGTATAAAATCGAATTGATCAGATAAAGAAGTAGATAGCTGCTGTATATAAGCATATTATCTTCCCAGTGCTGCTCTTTTTATGTGCCCAAAAAAGTTCATGCAGAGTTAAATCTATTGGTGATTTGGTGTGCTTTCTTTTTTCAACACAGCGCCTGTGATGTAACTGTAAAGTTAAAGTATTTAATCTTTGCTATGTCTGAGAGAAATGTTTTTTATTTCATTTTATTTTTCCTTAATGAATGTGTATGATTAAATAAAGCTTTTACGGTATTATCTGACTGTTTGCAAATTATTTCTAGTGTTTTCGCTAAAATTGCTATGTTATTTAGAAACAAATCAACATTAAACTTATTTAATTTGACTTTCTTTTATTCATTTCCCGTTTTTCATAACTTCAGACCCAATAATATCCTCAAAATCAAACAATAAAATGAATGTTGAAGTTATCACAAGCAGATATTGCTTTATTTTAACAGGTCACTAACAAAATATGCTCGAGGTGATATACAAGTTTACAAAAAGTACCTGACCGCAACCTGGAATGACTAATATATTCGTAATCAAATGTTCCTAATTTATACAACAAGACGTAAACGCAAATATTAGCACTCATTAACGCGCTGTGTTTGTGTCTGCCATGTGGTTTGTGGCGCATGTTATAGTGAACACTTACTACCGTACAGGCGGGGCTCCATTCGATGCTACCTGTGTTTAATTGCAGAGGTAAGTCCCCGCCCTGACAAGCTCTTCTCCGGTGCACGCTGGATTAGGAAAGGTGCGAACCCCTTTACGTTGGCAGTATCCAATCAGCGCCGTCCGTGGCGATGTATGTGTTGTGTTGAAGCTGCTGCTACGAGCAAGGCTACACAGGCAGTATGGCGGAGGAGGGCAGTGGGTGCGAGTTAGAGGGGCTAGAAAAACAATTAGAGAGTTTGTTGGGCCGCTACTCAAGTGAAGAATTGCAGGCCGACAGTAAGCCTTTCTGCTCCGACTTTTGCGAGGTAAGGAGCCGTGGCTGAAGTTGTTGACAGGCTTGTTGACAGAGATAATAGCATATATGTTAGCCTACTCCCCTCCCCCAGAACTGGCCGCTACACAGCTAGCATTAGCAGCTAGGGTTGTTAGCATCTAGCAAACGAGTCGTATTGGCTTCAAAAACGAATATATCACATTAACATATCGTAAACATTATCACTGACATCCCAGCCTCAGATTTAAAGACATTATCGAATCGTCTGAGTCACCAAATCAATCAAATATTGACGCGTGTTGACAGTACAGTTAGCTAGCTAACACGGCTAATCGCTTTAGCCAGTTAGCCCACAATTTGCCAAAAGTTAGATTAGTTAGTCTGCTGAATGTTTACCAAACTGCCGAGTGGACAACTTTTTTGCACGTTTACAACAAGTTTGGTTATTAATTAGCCAGGGAGTAATTTAGTGGACGTACACTCACCTATAACTTAATGTTGTTATGCAATTAGCAACCCTTAGTTGTCATGCATTTGCCTGGAAGACCAACTTTGACTAGGCTCAATTATCCGTCTTAACCAACATGGCGTGTAAATGTACCTTTGCCGTTTTAAATGACATAATCACAACATGTCCTCTTACTTTGACATTTTTGTTATGCATTAATCTAAATGCATAGATACAGTAAGTACATTTAGTGCATTTAAATGTCTGGAATTGCTGGTAAATATTCACTAAAGAGAGTCTTAAACGGGGTTTTAGCATTACCACCAAGAGTGAAAAAGGGTGTTTTGTTTTCCTGTGGACAAATCCAGGAAATAGGTTGCTTCTGAGCTATTAGCATGCCATTTCAACTTTAAATTCTCTGTATGAAAACACAACTTATGAAGCTGTATACAACACGTTTGGTTATCAGTTAGCTAGTGAGGAATTTCCAACCTCTATCTTAATGTTGTTATGCAATTAGCAGCCTTAGTTATGATGTATTTGCCTCCAAGACCAACTTTTATTATGGCTTTATTAGCTAGATTAATAAGCAAAAACACATGTAAAAGTATATTTACATTTGCATTATTACATGACATAATTCCTGTAATCACAATATGTCCTCATACCTTGACATTTTCATAATGTGGTCAAATCCGAGATAATATTTTGCTATTAGCATGCCACTTAAACTTTACACTCAAGGTCTATCTCTGATGATAACACAAGTTATAAAGCTGCAACCAAAAAGAACAACGATTTTATCTGAGTCCATCGAGCCAAACCAAAGTTTGTGCTACAGTTTTATATGTCATAGATTGGAGAAAGGCCTGAGGACAGCATAGTGACAGTTCACAGCATTCAAGTGGTGCGCAAGTCTGATGACCTAGATCTCCACCGTTAGAGGGCAATATAAGCACATTGTATCATAGGGATTTTACGGTTTAATTGTTAGTATTATCATGTAAGGTGCACTAAAATGTTCCTTTTTGGTTGCGCACTTTAGTATAAATGTGTTATAAAGGAAAGCTGCTGAAATAGCTGTTAGTCAACATGCCGTACCAAATGTGTTTTTAATTTGAGGTTTATATTAATAGATGTGGCTCATCCATACACATTCATTACCATACATTAGTGGATGTAGGGGTCTCTTTTATCCTGTGTTTCCATGTAATGTACCAAACCAAGGTATTGGTTGTAGGGCTGCATGGCATTAAAATATCTTATTTTGGTTTACCCACAGTTTTATTCCCAAACAGAATTGATTGACCATTTTATGGAATGGAGAAAATCAGGGTATTTCAATATTTAAAGGAGGTAGACAGCATTGGTTGACATTGACAGTGCATACGTGCCACTGGTCTTGATCTTGTTGCATCACCAATGTACCACCAACTGATGTTAAACATCTAATATCGCAGACTATACATGATAAACTGTACACGCTGTTAACTGTCCTTGTGTTCTTGTCTCTGTTTTGTCTCTTCTCCGTGCAGCTGGTGGAGCAGCATGCCTCTGGCTGGCAGGTGCCGCAGCCTCAGCTCAGGATCCTTGAGAAAGCTCTCCGCTACTTCGCCCGAGCCTCCACCTTCTTCACGTCAAACTGTGATCATGTTCTTCACACACTCAGCAGTCTGGCTTTGTAAGTACACAGACCCTGCTCTAAAGACTTAACACAGATTTGACATACTGCTTTGAAAGGTTATTTTTTATTTGAAATCTATCTTTCTTGCTCATCACTAATGCTAGCTTTGCAAATTCACTATGTTGACAATGGCATTGTTACATTGCTGCCTGGACAACAACATATCCAATACCCTTTGAGATTCCCTTTAAAAAGAAAGTGTTTGTTTTTGTTGTGTTCTGGTTCCTGGTTTGTTCAGTTTTGCTTGGCTCACAATTTAACTGATGTCAAATTGTGAATGAATGAAACCCTTTAATACCCCTCACTGAGTTAGCCTTGCACAATGTGTCCTTGGAAAAGCAAACATTAAACATCACGCACCCTGAAAAAACACTAGACATTAAGAAAACAAGGCATTATCTCTTAACCATACACAAGTTAACAACCCTATAAACATCTATTTGTTATGTAGAGATAAAAGGGGGTAATGTGTACCTGATCAGAGAACAAAGTCATTCTCGCTGTGTGTGTGTGTGTGTTGTTATCCAAGCCTATCTGCGCTTTGTTCACGTAGACGGTACAGCTGGGCATACATGTTAGTACATGCTTGTGTATATGTCATACTGGCTAGCTAATGGCCTCTGCTCTGCACTGTTATCATTCATCATTGATGGTGCTGTTCCTTAGCGTAGAGCCCACCCCTCCAAGCTCTGTTAGCTCTGTTGCTGTTGGTTGCACAGTTTGTGCAGGCAGCTCAGCCATCGCCATGTTGAGGATTTCCCTCAATCACAAACATGCTGTGATTCTGTATAAAACACCTTAGAATCCTTTAAAATTCACTGACAGAGAGAAAACATTTAATATCAATTGCATACAGAGAACAATGAGAACTTTTAACGATGGTGTGTGGTGCAGTGGATTGTGCGTTGGTGTTCGTATCAGGGGGTCACAGGTTCAAACCCCACTGCAGTCAGCATGTTGTTGTGTCCCTGGGCAAGACACTTTACCCCAAATTGCTCCTGTGTGGATTGCCTACAGTATTGAGTATGTAAGTCGCTTTGAATAAAAGTGTCTAACAAGTGACATGTAATGTAATTAAATGTTGATTGTGTTCATTGGCTCAAGCAACTCATTTGTAAGCCAGGAAAAAGATCAGGCATGCTGCCAGCTGTTGACTTCACTCCATCCCTCAGGGTTTCTATAAGATTCATAATGAACTGCATTCCTCTGCCTTTCTATCAGTCAGTGTTTTTACAGCAACGTAAAGATTAGAATTTCTGTGTTTAAATCAGGGTTTGTAAAAGGAAGCCACATCATTTTTGATTTCCCCACAGGAGTGTTTTTGAGTTGCTGCTGTTCTTTGACCAGAAGGACTTCCATCAGGAGCCACTGAAACACTTCACTGTTACGTTCCAGGTGAGCATGGAGTGCAGATCTCTGTTTATTCTTAGCGTCTCAAAACGGTTCAGAACTATATATCCATGGTTAAAATGCTCCCAAAATAAAAATTGTGCTCATGCTCTTTCAGGAATGTCACTTGTCCCTTGCGAGGCATCAGAATGTACACTTACTTCAGGTGGAGCGATCGGTTCGGAGCGGCGGGCCTTGGGCCGGCCCAGCTTTACAGGCAATCCTCAGTGAGTCCAGCTTACCTCAGAGTGAAGGTAGGTTTCCCCTTCCTGTAGAGTGTTATATAGGTTTTTGTTCATTGCCAATGTTCTCAATAGTTGTTCCTTGTGTTTGTCCTGCTATTTTCTGAAGCCATATCAAAGTAAACTAAATCCTTATCTGTCTCTTGACTGTTCCTCAGTGGATGTGTGCGTCAGCTCTGAGCTGCCGGTGTTCTTCGAGATGCGGGTGCGCTACCTCTTGTCCTGTGAGCGGGTCAGTGAAGCGTTGGCGCTGGCTAAGTGTTGTTCTCGGCATCCCACCGCAGGACAACACCTGTTCTTCCTCCAGGTCTACCTCACGTGGCTTTTCAAAACCTCGCAGCATGACCGCCTACATAAAGAGGTGGGTGGAGTGACTGTAATGCGGAAATTTGTTTCTTTGAAGTTTGAAATGTGTATGAGAGTCTTAGGCTTTAACTAATGCTCACATTTTCATCAATTCTTTTAGGTGGCTGACTTTAACGGTAAAGATGCAATTCACATCATCTGCAGTTTGGAGTGTGAGGAAAAGGATGAGGTGCTCCTCG